AATTAGAACAGTATTAGGAATTAAAGCAAATGATGTTTATTTATGGAGTGACTCTTTAATTGCACTTCATTGGGTCAAGTCAGAACCTGCTAAGTTATCAGTTTTTGTTGGAAATCGTGTAGCCGACATTCAAGTAGAAGCAGAAAAATTCAAATTTAGTCATGTTCGCACAAAAAGTAATCCAGCAGATTTTATTTCACGAGGTGCAACAGCAGAAGAATTGAATAACTGTGAATTGTGGTGGAATGGTCCAGATTATCTTCAAGAAGATGTAGAGTGCTGGCCACATTCTTTATTAAACTTTGATTTGGATAATTCCGAGTATAAAAAGGAATTTCGTCGAGTTTTACTTGTAACTCATCCATCGTTGAATCACATCATTCATTGCATTGAAAATAGATATTCTCATCCAACAAAGCTATTTAAAATATTTGCATCTTTATTAAGAATAATAGATAAATGGAAGAAGAAAGCAAATATCAAAATCGAACGTCAACATGCAGATTATGAGCTTCTAGGTAAAAACAAAGTAATTCATCTTATACAATTACATTTTTTCCCTCAAGAATTGAAGAAGTTGACAAAAGGAAAAGAAGTTTCATTATCATCTAGTATCAAACAACTTTCACCATTTCTAGATAATTATGGTATTATGAGAACAAATAGTCGCATTGGTGAATGTGAAAGTTTAACATATGAAAATAAGCATCAAATCATAATGCCTAAGTGTCAATTTGTTTATAATTTGATTCGTCAGATTCATCTTGATAATTTGCATTCGACAAAACTTTCAGCATTATTTTTTGTGAGACAAGTTTATTTCCCTGTGCAAGTAAAAGCGATGATTCATAAAATCATCAGTCAGTGCATCAAATGTTTTCGAGCATCTCCTAAGCAAATCAATCAAATGCATTTGAAAAGGTAGCTATCGATTATGCTGGACCTTTATTAATTTAAGCTGGGATGATTCGTAATACAACTGCAATGAAGTCCTATATCGCATTATTCAAGTGTATGTCTACAAAGGCAATTCATTTAGATATTAACAGATCTGACAACAGTGGCTTTCATTGGCACATTCGATAGATTTATATCACGCAGAGGGCTTCCAACTGATATCTACTCAGACAATGCAACATGTTTTGAAGGTGCAGGCAATGAATTCAAGAAATTGGCTAAAGATTTGGACAAATTCAAGAATATTACAATGACAAAAATATAAAACAGACTTGCGTCATTTCATTTCGAAGAAATTCGAAATTGGCTCCGAAAAATTCGAAATTTATTTCGAAAATTTAAACTCAACCGGTAAAACTTTAAAAAATTCTATGTTGAATTTTGAGCATTTTAGCTATGATAACTACTGTCAACTAGCTTAGAATCAAAGCTTGTTATTATTTATGAACATTGATAAGCTTTAAAATCATGAATATCAAGAAACAAAAGAGTTTTTTGCAGAAATATTTTTAAGAAATTTTTACACTTACACACTTACATTTTTTTGTTGACATTTTTCAATTTCAACTGAATTTTCTTAATTTAGGAATTTTCTTACTTAAAACAATGATTAACAACTTACTGATCACATAATTAATGATACTGATCGAAAAGCTTCATAATCTGTAGCTTAATTAAAGCAAAATTTTGTTTTATGCTTTAACGGAAAATAAATTTTGAATTTTTCAAAATTTTACATAACTGCCAACATTTGAAATGACGCAAGTCTGATATAAAATGGCATTTTATTACACCTCGAGCACCTTATATGGGAGGATTTTGGGAAAATGGAATTAAGCAAATGAAGCATCATTTAAAAAGAGTTATAACAGATCGATTAATGACCTATGAGGAATTCTCAACTCTATTATGGGCAATTCTTTGGATGACTTTTGGAAAATTTGATAACTTTTGATATCATATATATTTCTAATCGCTATATTAATTAAGTTATTTGGATTCTTCAGACAATAACTCGATGACAGAAATCGGAATTTTCCATTTTCATCATCCGAAGAATCGAAAATTAGAGAAAACTATTGATATCCACATTGAATAACTTTTACTAAGTTATAGAACAGGCAAAAATCTTTAATTAAGTTGCTTTTCCATATGCTTTAAGTCATTAATTCTTTGAAAAATTTCCTTGTGTGTCATCGAGTTATAAAAAAGTTTTTTTTTGTCTTAATCCGTTAAAAAATACAAAATTCTCAAACATATTTTTTCGATTTTTCACTTAATTTGGGTGAATTGTAACATTTCAATAGATCACTTGTAAAGATTTAATTATGCTTAATGATCTACGAAAATTCAGGTTTATTATTCCTTCACAGTAATATGAAATTAAAGAAAACATTTAACGGCCCGTTCACTTAAAAAAAAGTTCACGAAAAAAATTTGTTTACAAATTCACACCAAAAACATTTTTTTAAATTTTCCACCTTTTAATGATAAAATAAATTATGAACGTTCAGGGGGGGGGGGGGGTTTGTGAGTTGTAACATATTGTAACAAGGGTGGGAGGGGGGTGTAAAAAGTAGTTTTTTTGCGTAACGTAATAAGTGAACGGCCCCTTATTGACACAAAACTCATTGACATTGGATTATGAAAGCTCATTTTTTTCAAATTCCACTCATCCAAAAAATTGCCCTTATGTAGAATTGAAAATCAACTTGCTATCGTTTTTTCATAGATCATTTTTGATTATTTCATCAGTACCACACCCTTGGTTTATGCCCAATATAGCCTTTCTTCGTTACCTGCATCTTTATTTTGATATCTTGTATGTTTTAAAAGTTATTCATTTGATGGCCTATCTTCTGGATTCTTAATCTATACTTAACTTGGCTAAATTCGTCTGACTCTATTTAAATCGATACTTAACCAAATCATTCCTAAACCTATCATAAGAAGTCTGAAAATTATCATAGTGTTCGTCATATGTGATTGACCCCTTAGCACGTAATTGTGACTAGGGACTTCATTTTTGTCGCTTTTTTGAATTCCTAAGTGAGTCAATGACTAAGGTAGCTAATTTAGTGTTAGATTTAACTGTAAGATTGACAGTCAATTCTTGATTGAACCTTAAATCGGTCAATCAACTTCCAATTCTACATACATTCAGTAGAAGATTCGCTATCCGAACCTAAGAATTGCCAAGAATACAGAAAGAAAATCCATTAATATCAATCAAACCGAAACTTTTGCTTCGAACAATGAAAATTATTGTTCCATTCCTTCTATTCCTTCGTTCTTAATGACATCCATGAATCTTTTTTATGGCAAAATATTTACAACAAATTCTCTTTCTCATTCAAGCACACAAAAAATGCCTGTTTCCTTCAACTTTTTCACAATGTGGCTCATAAAATTGCAGCAGTGAAAATATATGCCTATAAAAGAACCTGGCAAGTGCACTTGTCGTGTTTTCTACTTCGCGATACTTTTTATAAAATTAAAATCCTTATTCCATGTATATTCTCATACATATATTTCCTTTTAACAATTGAAAAAACTTGAAATGGCATAAGGAGAGCGAAAAAAACATTTCATTCACTTTGAATTTATGATTTCCGTACAGCGCTGTATATTTTTTTATTTCACTTTTGTGCCTTGTTTCACTAATTTTTTAAAAACGGCAAAAGGAGTCATTGTTAAATGCATTCCCGGAGCAAATTTATTGATGAAGTATTTTGAAAGCATGTACTTATGCTCAATGTTTTACATGAACATAAAATTTTTGAGTGTTTTCTGGATTACGAGTTAAATGTTCATTAGTATTATGAGATGGAAATGGAGGCATTTGGTGATGTCAAATGCACGTAATCAATTGTAAAATTGCGTTTTTAAAACAATAAAAATTGGTTAAAAATTCAAAATGGCGAAATTTTTCTTCACTTAAAAAAGTTTTTCTGAAATATTTCAAAATATTTAAACATCCATTGCTTTTAGTTGATGTTTTAAGGCTTGAATAGATGGCACAAATGAGAATCAGTTTTATTAGAAATCTTACTAGCTTTGTAAATCAACTTTATTAATCAAACATTAAACTAACCTCAAATATATTTAAATTTGTTTCTGAAATTCCTTCAAAACGAGTTAAAACAGCTTAAAATTAAAGCAGCATCTCAAAAGTTTATCCAGGTGTGATAAATTATTGATAAAAAGCTTCACATTACGTTGACATAAGCGCCAACTGAAAAATATTCATTTGCTGCAACACGCTAATTAAGAAGAATGAGATTTCCTCTCATCATCGTTTATATAATATGCGAGCATGCGGTATAAGCAGCATGAACAAACAAGAAGTGCTAGAGTGTTAATTAGTTTTCCGCAATTCATCATCATAATCACCATTTTTAAGAGAAGCCGCGTCATCAGGACCATAAAAACATTTCACGCGCAATTAAATCGTATAATAAATAATTTTTCAAAAGAAGTGACGGTAGAGAAAGTTTTTTGTGTCTTCCTGAGATGCAAAAGGAAATTAAATTCTTCCGTTATTCATCATCTTGCCACAACTGTAAGTTAAGTTGTTAAAAAATTGTCAAGATATGAAGATGAAACTTTCCTCATTCATTGTCAGCCGCTTAATTGTTCATGTTCTTGTTGAAATGGGGTTTAAATGACTTATCAAGCATTAAAGTTTTGAGAGCCATTTAAGAGGGAAGGAAATTTAACTAGAAGTTGCTTCCTTCCTTATTGTTACAAATGACTACTTGTAGATTTTAATAGAAACTGTGGGTGACGATGTTTCGGATGTTTTCATAGTTTTAAGGCAATTACTATCAATGATGTAGTTTTAAAGGAAGTTTTGATATCTCCTTAAGGGGCCATTCACTTATTACGTAACGCTTTTAGGGGGAGGGGGGGGGGTCTAAGATTTTGTTACGGTTAAAACAAGGAAATTTTTTTTTCATACAAATTTTGTTACGGGGGGGGGGGTCTAAGAAGTCATTTTTTCGCGTTACGTAATAAGTGAACAGCCCCTAACTGCTAAGGCTGCATTGAATGGAAGTAGTGGCTTAATTTTTATTTGATTCCTTTAACATTTAAACATATTTAATTTAGAATGACAGTTGCTGTCGTTTATGCCAAAAACTAGTGAGTATTAAGAATTGGATAGAGAAGAACCTGTTAGCAATCCGGTGCATAGATCTTGAAAATGTGCAAGATGCATGTTGCGTCGAAAGATTCTTAATAAGAACCATAATCCAACATCACCATTTTCGCTCAGATGTTTACATTCACAAACTGTTGCTGGACGTCCAAGCATACGACGAATTAGCCTTAATCGGAAGCATTGGAAGCTGAACAGTACAATCATGATAAGAAGATGAAGAACTGTCCATGTTAGGATGAAGATGTACCAAATGTATAAGAAAGCAAATATTTTAGCATTAAAGCCGTTATAAGGGAATGTGCAGACACTGTCACTATGCCTTGTCAATTTAAAATCATAAGTGGAGAAATGACAGTTGGCTTGTTTTGGAAATTGAAGTGCCGATGTTTGATGAAGTCGTGACAAATCAAGGAATAATAATGATTTAGCCGCTGGTTCATATACGTTCCAGAAATCATCAATGACTAGATTCATCAACAACATGACCAAAATATTCAAGACGATTGTGATGAATTCATATGATAAATATCTGAATGCAAAAAGCCGATACTGTGACTTTTGAATGTTCTTTACATATCCAATCAATTGTGTGCGTTGCCTTATCCAGTCGTCAGAAAGTTCGTTTGTAGCTGAATAAATTGAAGCTCTAAACTAATAATTAAGTAAATGTAATAGCAACTACTTACAAAGCTTCTTTAGTGCTTTTGGGATAGTTTGTTGCTGTTTATAATGCCAATGAATTCGTGGAACAACAAAACAAAAAGCTTGAAACAGCAATAACGGTACAATCCATCCATAGAATCCAATTTTCAAGTATTTCTCTTCCTCTGATTTGTAACTCTTTTTGGCATATCCATATTTAATTCTTTGCAAATTAATATCGCTTTTGATCCAGCACTGATAATCCATGACATCATGCTGAGCTTTGCCTGATGAAAAACATGATATGGATTCTCTGGAATGAAATTTTACGGTGAATATTATAATAAATTAATAAATGGAATGAATAGAAACTTACCCAAACAGTTGCATTCCTCCAATTAAAAGTGCAAAGAGCAACAGCATGCAAACTGTGTATTTTGTGACTAATTTGAAGACAAACGAGGATGTTTCAACATTCTTCGTCTTCCACAGTGACGAGATCTTCTTTATAACTTTATCACACATACTTCAGTTCCTTTAAATAGCATCTAATTCGTTTAATTAATTTATTTATCTTTTGTCTCTTGAAAATCTTAAAAATGTTGCTTCAAGTTTTGAATTCAAAATAATTCCGTTACAAATTTGAAAACTACAGCCACGTGTTGTCCAAGTATTTAAAATTTTATTCCATTATTCATGGTTGATAATCAGTTCTGTATTGATAATCTGTTCTGTTCTACTGTATTCGTGTTTCAGCAAATATCCAAAACCATATTATGACCAAGTTTCATCTTAAAATTTACAGCACACTTCATTTTTATGAGAAACAATGAATATCGATTATGATGAGCGCTAGACATTAAAGTGGAAATTTTAATGAAGTTCAATTAATTTTCTTTTTTCCCGAAGAGCGAAAGTTTTTAATTTTTTTATGTGCATTGTTAAATAAAATTAAATTGCTTCGCCAATTAGATGAGATGAGAATTGCGCTTCTTCGTGGCAAAATGATGGGGGGGGGGGGGGGGGGGGGGGGGTGATAAGGATGAGGAAAAATTATTAAAAATATTTTTGTGGGTGAGAGTTTGGTGGAAAGAAACAAACAAGATGCAGCTAGAAATGTATGTTTATGAAAAGTAAAGCATGAGAAGAACAATAAATGATGTTTAATGAAGTGAATAAGTTTTGACTTTTTGCTTCGTCTTTATTCAGGAGGAAAATTTATTTTCTTCTAGTTCAAATAACTGTTGAACTTTTTAATTTTACTGATGCTTACGTTAGATTTTTAGTCTGTTCCTGTCATGACTTTTTTGTATGTCCTAAACACGTGATTAACATTATAAAAATTGTAACGGAAATTTTTGAATTCAAAATTTAAAGCAACGCTTCAACTGCAATTTTTTGAGGCTTTTAAGAAACAAAAAGTTAAAATAAATTAATTTATTCATTTAAAGACCTTTTTAAGAAACTGAGATATGTGTGATAAAGTTCATAAAGTTATAAAAAAGATTTCGTCATTATGGAAGACTAAGACTATTAAAACATCATCTCTTGTCTTCAAAATAGCCACAATATACACAGTTTTCATGTTGTTGTTTCTTATGCTTATAATTGGATGGACACAGCTGTTCGGGTAAGTTCAAACTTATACCTTTAATTCAATACATTATAAAATCAAATTCCAGAGAATCTGCATCATGTATTAAATCATCAGGCAAAGTTTGGTACGATGATATTAAATATGAGTGCTGGATCAAGAACGATAGAAAATTTGTGAGTTTTGGAATCTTTAGAGTCGTTGTTATGTTGTTGTTTCATGCATCGATCTTTATTATTCCTGGAAAGATTTGGTATAAACAGAAGAAGAAGACAATTTCAAAAGCTCTTAAGAAGCTGCGTAAGTAGACCAGACTGTTCCTTACTATAAGACCTAATTATTCTCTGATTTTCTTAGCAACATCATCATTTAATCAAGACTGGATAACCCAACGTAATCAATTGATTGACTTTATCACGAATAATCCAAAAGCTCACCATCGTTTATTTGCTATTAAGTATATATCCTGCGAACTTCTTACAGTATTCTCAATTATTCTTAACATGCTTTACACATGTTTGTTCATCCATGATTTTTGGAACGAATATCAACAGGCTGCAACATCGTTCTTATTTCTTGATTATTCACAATTTTATAGCGAATCCTCAAGAATTTTTCCTAGACAAGTCACATGTAACTATTCCAGCTATTCCTTTGAACCTTTCACAGTCACGAAAGAAGAAGTTGCCTGTACATTTCCACATAATGACTTAAAAGCTGTAATATTTGCTATCATATACATTTGGTACATCTTTATTCTTACGTGGGCAGTTCTTCATCTCTTTCTGATGATTGTACTGTACATCTGCAAATGCTTACGATTAAGGTTAATTCGTCGTATGCTTGGACGTCCAGCAACAGTTTGTGAATGTAAACATCTGAGCGAAAATGGTGATATTGGATTATGGTTCTTATTAAGGATCTTTCGACGCAACATGCATCTTGCACATTTCCAAGATTTATGCACTGGATTGCTAGCTGATCCTATTCTTAATGCTTACTTTTTTTTAGCATAAATGGCTTCAACTGTCATTCTACGAACCTTTAAAGAAACTGAATAAAACTAAACTTAAGCAATAACATAAATATTTCCTGAAGATCTGAATTTAAACCTGAAAGGCCTTTACTTTTACTTTTATTTCAATGTTGAAGGAAAAATAATACAATTTTTAAAAATGTTCATGGATTATAGCCTTCCCACTTTCGGTGATTAAGCTGATTAAAATCATCACAATTTTCGGCAATTTTTTTCAAGTATTTAGCCAACTTGAGCAGTTCCGTGTCTGTCGAACGGTTTAGATGACATTGCGAAAATGCTTTAATTCGTAGACCACTTTTTGGATTCATTAAAAAGTTCCTACGTATATCATCAAACATAATTGTATTTTTGGATGAATAGAATTCCGGAAACTTTTGCCAAATTACTCCCAAAGGCTTAACATTTACAACTCCCTTACTTGGATGATGAATCGATATCATTGCATTATAATCGAGATAGAATGTCATTTTATAATTTTCATTCGTATGAACACCAAGAAGCTTCATTTTTTCAATAATCCATTTCATGCTTGTTGCGGACCAAATCACAATATCATAATGCTCATAAGCGCTTGTTAGAAATTCATGTAAGTATGGTCTCATCAGTTCAGCACCAGTTTCAGCCGATGACCGATGATCAAATAATGTATAATCAATATCCAGAACCAAGAGCTTTTTTCCAGGTCGTGGAGGATTAAAAACTTCTACTTTATATTCATCAACACGTCGCTTAATTTTAGCTAAATAAACATCTCGATTCTCAAATGAATCATTATCCTGCTGCTCTGGATCCTCAAAATCATTCACAATCTCATCAGTTTCTTCTGGCTTTTCATTTACACTCCGTATATCCTCTTCCCGTGAACCAACCATTTGAAGTGGCTTGCCTTGCTTAATTAAAAGATCCGAGATTTTCGAATTATCATCAATTTTTACATTATTTTTGCCCTTGAGATTCAGAATCTTTTGGCGTTCCTGTAATGTTGTTAATGACGTGTTAATTATACACGATTGTTCATTAATGTTTACATTTTATTCACTTACCGGCAAAACTTCTGTTTCCATTTGTATCTTGTGCTTTAAAATCAACACATCGTCGTCTGGATCGACTAACAACTGATACAGTGAGTTATTCCACTTTAAATCTATTGTAATTAAGCCTTCATTTATGTCCATTTTTTGCCGTTTAGTGGATCTTTCATCAGAATGTTCCATTGCGAAAAAAACAAGTCTGAAAACTATCCCCTATCTTTGACTAAAGCGCATTTTTGGATTTCTTTTTCACTCTACGTATCTTAATTTAATCAGCTCGTCTGGATGTTTCATTCAAGCTTAATCTGCCTGTGATTTGTGTCAACTGTCGAAACTATTTTAAATTTTTCTCGAAACAATTTTTTTTCAAATTTTAAATAACCGGAAATTTTTCAGTTTTTGACTAAAATTGAATAAGGTATTAATAATATTATCATTATATTGAACTTTATTGTTTACAAATTAGTAATTAAAAGTTGACAGACAAAGCACTTGACTAAAGCACCATTCTTAAGAATAACAGTTTACCGAGATGATCAATTTTATAAAAAATAATTTCTTAGACGACAAAATTATCAAAAGTAAACAACATTTCACAAAAATTGAATAATTAAGTTTTTACGACAATTAAAATGGAATCAGAGAAGCACAGCTTAGAAGAAGAGCAAGAAGAATGGATTGGTCCACTTCCAACAGAAGATTCATCACAGCCGCAAAAGAAAAAGCAGAAAATTCTACCACATGAGAAATTGTACCTTGATAAGTAAGTATAGCTGCATTTAAGTTCCTTATTTTCATTGATTATTGTCTACTGGATCTTGTTATTCACTCAAAAAAAGATCCAATTAGGAAAATAGAAGTAAATTTTAATAGGGCCCTGACGAAAAAAAATATATTTGTGAGTGATTCTAAGGTTCACTCTATCTTGTATTTTAAAAAAATCCATATCTTTTGACATAAAACTCACTTCCTAAAGTTAAGCAGTTGTGTCAGAAAATCACTTTAAATAAGCGTCACATTCGAATAATTTTTTTGGAATTTTCTATATCTTTGTTAATGTCTGTAAGTATATCATCAAATGTATTTCTAGATCAGAAATTTAATTCTCTTTTGTTTGGCTTCAATAAACTTAATAAATTGTCCTAAAAACATATTTAAATGATCAAAAAAAATTCAACGGTTTTAAATTCGTGAGTTGTTTGTTTACAAACACAAATGAAAGTAAATAAAATTGAACTCATAAATAAATCGCTCAAAACTGATGTTTAAGCTTCTGTAATATAAAGGGTAGCTTAAAAATCAATTTTTTTACTTAAATAAACCTTAAATTTCGATGCTGGGTTATAAGTCCAGAAAATCAAAGTCAATAAAGGTTTATAAGTCCAGATACAAATTGCACCTGGACTTAAAAACCTCACGTGCAGTTTATAAGTCCAGGTACAGATACAGCTGGAATTATAAACTGCACGAGAGGTTTTTAAGTCCAGGTACATTTTATATCTGGACTTATAAACCTCACGTGTGGTTTATAATTCCAGAAAATTTACAAATTTTACTTATAATCTCCCAGTGCGATTATAAATCCAGATACATTTTTCTGGACTTATAATCCTTGAAAATTATTTGATATAATTTCAAATTTTTATATTCATACCGTATTCACGTGTGAATCTATTGGTTTTGTTCAGATTGAAAAATCAGTTTTTTGCATTCTGTGAGAAAACAAAGCAAAGAGGATTTTGTTTCCCCTTTTTATTCTTGTATTATTTATATTTTAAATGTTAACATCCAGAGCGAAAAATGTGATTTTTATAAATTTTTACACGCTACTGTACCTTGTTTTCTATTCAATCTTTTTGTAAAAGGTAAAATCATAGTCAAAACCAGCAGAATTTACGAAAAATTACATTAACTGTAAGGACAGCTAAGCACTTGTCTAAGCTATAAACACCATCTGTATTTACAACTGTTTTTACTTATACACATTAAACTACAGCTGTAAATTGATTTTTACGTAACGACGTAAGTTCATCTGTAATCTACAGCTGTAATTTGATGCTAAATAGTATAGGGTAAAGATTACTATCAAAAAAGTGCGCAAATTTCAAAATATTTTTGCGCAAATTTTAGAATTTCTGCGCATATTTCAAAATGAAAACTTAAATGTCAATTTTCTCTGAATTGATGCAGCACAAAAACCTTTGCATGATCAAAAATAAAAATATCGACGACTCTCAACATTTCAAGACCATTAGTAGGTCACAATGTCAATTTGTCGATTAGTTTCAAGCGTTTGAAAATTCCAAGTCTAAAAACACGCAAATTTCAAAATGATTTACCCCATATGGTACTTTAAAGGGGAAAAAATCAGAGAAAAGTGAATTCTTTGTGTGAAGTTTTCAGAAATTCATGTGAATAATTGCTTTAAAGAAAAAAAATTGAAATAATTTCAAATAATTTTCAAGGATTATAAGTCCAGAAAAATGTATCTGGACTTATATATAAGTCACATGGGAGATTATAAGTAAAATTTGTAAATTTTCTGGAATTATAAACCACACGTGAGGTTTATAAGTCCAGATATAAAATGTACCTGGACTTAAAAACCTCTCGTGCAGTTTATAATTCCAGCTGTATCTGTACCTGGACTTATAAACTGCACGTGAGGTTTTTAAGTCCAGGTGCAATTTGTATCTGGACTTATAAACCTTTATTGACTTTGATTTTCTGGACTTATAATTTTCTGTGCACGATTTTTGTACCTGGACTTATAACCCAGCATCACCCAGCATCTAAATTTCGTGTTAAATAATTGAATTATTGAGATTTTAAGAAATTTATTTTTGGTGTTTTGATTGTATTAGTAAGATAGGATTAGTATAAAATTCAAAATATTAATTTCCGTTGAGCAAAATTGCCGATGCCTAATAAAATTTCCTATCGTCCTTAAAACAGCCTACCAAGCACAGATTGTTATGAGAAGTCCTACATGCATCGAGACAATATGAATTTTGTAGTAGTCACAAAGACAGATTTTGTAATTACATGCTCTAATGATGGACACGTAAAGTTCTGGAAGAAACTTCCAGATGGAATTGAATTTGTCAAGCACTTTCGTGCCCATTTACATCCTATAACAAGCTTAAGTGCTAACGTTATGGGGACCTTAGCATGCACATCATCCACAGATAAAAATGTAAAGGTTTTTGATGTTATTAATTTTGATATGATTAATATGATCAAACTGGATTTTACGCCTTCATGCACATGCTGGATCTATAAAGGTGGCGATACAATTCCATGCTTAGCTGTTGGAGATGCTGAAAGCCCTAGAATATTAATCTATGATGGACAAGGAACAAATACGCCTATACATGTGATTGATAAATTACATTCAAAGCCAGTGACTGTAATCAGCTTTAATGCACATTTTGAGACAGTAATAAGTGTGGATAAAGCAGGAATATTAGAATATTGGCAAGGACATAGATACAATTTTAAGTTTCCCGAGAAAATTGTAAAATATGAGTCGAAATTAGACACAAGCTTGTATGAATTTGCTAAGAACAAAACGGAAGTGACTGGATTGGCAATAACAAATGATGGTTTAAAGTTTGCCACAATATCAACTGATAGAAAAGTTCGAGTCTTTAAATTCCTTACTGGAAAGTTAATAAGAGTTTATGATGAATGTTTGGCGAATTTTGCTGAGGCACAGCAATTAAATCGTGCAGTTCCAAATATGGAATTCAGTAGACGAATGAACAATGAGAAGGATATTGAAAAGACAGAATCCCTTGTGTACAGTAACATCATTTTTGATCAAAGTGGACATTTCATTCTTTATTCCACAATGATTGGCATCAAAATGGTCAATATTGAGACAAATAAATGCACAAAAGTGATTGGAAAAGGTGACAACTTACGTCCACTTAATATTGCATTGTTTCAAGGAAAAATCAGAAGATCAAATGCAGCAGTAACATTTGAACAAGAAGCATCAATAGACACAGCAAGTAGTTCCATTGGTGATCCAACACTGTTCTGTACAGCCTTTAAAAAGCAAAGATTTTATCTTTATTCACGTCGTTTACCTTCTGATGTCCAAGAAGTCGACCGTGATGTATTCAATGAGCAGCCATCGAAAGAAGACATCCTTGCTGTTACAGAAAATCATACAGTCCAGAAGATATTCGATAAAGCTATCATTCACACGACACTTGGTGACATTTTCATGAAACTCTTTGGCAAGGAATGTCCAAAAACAGTCGAGAACTTTTGTGTACACAGTAAGAATGGATATTACAATGGACACATCTTTCATCGTGTCATCAAAGGCTTTATGGTTCAAACTGGAGATCCAACTGGATCTGGTTCTGGTGGTCAATCAATTTGGGGACATGAATTTAAAGACGAATTTGTTCACACATTAAAGCACGACAGACCTTATACAGTCAGCATGGCAAACGCTGGACCCAACACGAATGGAAGTCAATTCTTTATTAATGTCTGTAACACGCCGTGGCTGGATAACAAGCATACAATTTTCGGTAGGGTCTATAAAGGAATGGAAGTGGTGCAGAATATAAGCAACGTCAAGACAAATCCGAAAACTGATAAGCCTTATGATGAAATTAAGATTATATCCATAACACTGCATTAGGAAAAATATTGTAAATTTATTTTGAATGTATTAAGGAACGAATACAGTTGGACTTGAATATCAAGGTTGATTTGATGTAAACTTACTTATTTTTTATTGCGAATAACTGTCAAATAATATTTGAAAATGAAAATCCCGTTAATATCTATGAACTCCCTATCCACATTCTTCACATCATTTAATGTTAATTATTAAGAAAATTTGTCCATTCCGCGTGTCTGTCAAGAAGTAAGAATGTCTGGCATTTTAAATGAATGAGAATTCCAGTTCAAAAAGGTTTCCATTAATTACTTACTCACAATGTGGAGCAGTTTGCCATTCTAAACAATAGTCATGGACAATAAAGAATGTCCTCAACGTTCAGCAGGGACCTATTTAAATATTCTCATGCAATACCCGTCCGTACGCTAATTTAATTGCTGTGTATCTCATTTTTCACAGAACATTGGACGATGTGGCTTATGTTTTTTTAGAAGATTATGAAGAATAGGCAAAAATTAATTCACATAGCTGTTTAATAGATCCAGTCGAATATTAGAAGCACTGACTACGACCAAAAAAAAACAGAGAAACTTTTTTAATGATTTAACAGCTAATTAATTTCAATTTTTTTCAGACAAAGAGAGTGGGGTTGGAAGAAAAAAGGGAAAGTGAGGATGTGGATGGAGAGGTCATTTGTATTTTATAGCAGTTTAGAATTTATTTAAAGGGATCGTGATGCTTTTTAAAAACCTCATTCATTGCTTCTGTTGTCTGTTCTTTGAAACACCATTTTTAATGACGCCGCGGGACATTTTTTTTTCTCGACTTTATTGTTTTGGAGCTGTATTGTTTGATATTTGAGAGATTTGATTTTGTTTTGTCTTTGCTGGATGTTTGAATTGATTAATTTTAAATTTGTTTAAAAATAACGGCCGATAAATATTTGAAAAACAACGGTATCAAAAAATTCAAATGTGTCAAAAAAGATTTGAATATATTCAAAAATTTAAAATAACAGTCAAAAAATATCAACAGCACTTAAACGCTTCATTCATCAAGAAACTCCGAGCAACTTACTTGTTCAACTCATTGCTTCCGACAAACCACTTAAAACAAAGAAAATGTACATCGTTTTGAGGAGAAAATATAAATTATGATCTTTTCCTTGTAGTTCCTCTTCTTGTCGACCCTCAAAAAGGTTCATTTCTTTCATAGCAAGATTAAGTAATTTTCTCGTTTCGTCTTTAATTACTTAATTTTCGCATGAAGAAGGAAAAATATGTCATGAAGCAGGGGACTTTAAAGGAACAAGACATAAAAGGAACATTTTCTGGCCGGAAGAAATTAATAATCTTAATTGAGTGACCGTATTCTGTGCATCATCATGAACAACAGCAGGAGCTTAACAGTCACTCATTCTTTTAATATTTTTCGTCGTCTCAATGTCATAAATGGAAATTGCAGATAGGGGTAAAAGATATTTATGATGTTTTATGCTGTTCTCCCTCAACAGACTGAAAAATTCATTTCCTATTGTTTTGTTTATTATGTCCTTTAAATGATGAATATTCTTTTGTGTACGAAAAAATTGGTTTTTATGCTGACTCGCATTTGTGTGGAATTTTTGTATATGAGTATTTTGAGTATGAGTAACGAGATATTAAAGTTTTGGACTATGACTTGAGTTCGGGTTTGACTTAAATTAATTAATAAGACTCATATTTTGAACCTGATTGTCATCCACAGATAACTGTCAGCATATTTGCTTGTCTTTGGTTCGATACGCAAGATTTTACAAAGCTATGACTCTACACTAGGCCAAACAATCAATATAAATTTTGGATAGAATTGATCTTGAACATAGATTTATTAAATGGAACCACAAAGCATCAGATTTCTTGCTAATCGTTTTGCATCAATCGGCATCAATCATGCATGATCCACAAGACGATTTTCTGAAAGGGGGCTTAATAATGCACTATGCTCTGTCGGGTTAAAACTCGGTTTAACAGCTCGGTGCTATCGAGTTATATCGGTGAAGCTAATTACAAAAGCTTGTAACGATATCTAAAATGATTACTACTGAAACTAGCGATTGAAATTCGTTAATTTCAAAAACAGGTGAAAGTGCGTTTAGAAATTTGAGCTTTTTGCACTGTTTTAAAATTTGAATTTCAAAAACCGCTATTTGTCAATACGTTTTTGTGTTAATTTGTATGAGTAGTGAATTTAAATCTTTTTCAATGCCTTATTTAATGCTAATTGATTGACTTGCTAATAAAATACTGAACGCTGCGACAAAAATAATCTAAAGTCTCTCGAAAAATAGGCATATAGCATAAAATTGCAGATTTACATAAATACAGCATGCTTAACTTCTTAACACTAATTTTCCTTATTCTCTTCATCCATCTTCCTTTGTCGCACTTCGCCAAGCATATTCTCAAGTTCTTGAGGCAGTTGCTCCTTATTTCGGTGATAATAATTAATTGCAGCTGTATTTTCTTTCAGGAACTGTCTTCGAGCCTCAATTTCATTCTGTCTTTCTTTTAATAATTTTTCACATTGAGCCACAGATTTGGCACCAAAATCTTCTCTCTTTTCACGCAGTTCCTTGACCTCATTTTCTAATTGCTGTAAACCTTTAGTTCGTTCAATCATTTCCTTTTCATTCTGCTTGATCTTTTCCTTTCGCTCATAATAATTTGCTTGGATGTTGTGGACTAATGCAGAAAGTTCCTGCTCAACAATTGATTCCTCATTTACAATTTGTTCGAATGTCTTCCGAATTTGTTGAAGCTTTGCATCCAAAATGTCCTTTTGAGTCTTACAATTGTGCTTTTCGGACTCAGTTTTCATTATTTGATCCTTCATCTCTGCCTGCATTCGAAAGTATTTGTTTTTAAGTCCAATCAAGCCTTTATGCATTTGATTAAGCATTCCTTCCATATTTACATCATCATTTGAGGATTTTATGACATAATGTTCAGGATCAAACTCATCTGTATTGCCAGCAGAATTTAGTTCACTTGAAAGTGTATAAATTAGATTATTGAGTCGATCAATAAGCTGAAATTTTTTAGATATCAAGTTTGACAATGCAATTTCATTTTCACTGCTTGCTTCCGTTAATTCCATGACTGCATTTCGTTTGCTCATTAATGCTGACTTTAGATGTGTAATTTCAACGAGAATTTGCTGACGTTTTTCTAATGTCATGAGTTGTGTCTTTATCTGATTATTCAAAGTTTTTAATTCCTTCTGCACATGATCTAGTGCTTGCTGCTTCAGTGCTAAATTTGATTTTAAATTAGTGATGGTTCTGTTGTGATCGCCAATATTATTATTATGTGTTGCAATCTTTTGATCCAATTCCGTTGATTGTTTTTTCTTCTCATTAAAGTCCTTTAACAAGCTCAATGGCTTACTTTCTTTTTGAAGCTGACCAATCTCAAATTGCAATCGTTCTTTTTCTGACTCAACATCGGAACCAATAATTCCACGCATTTCTAAAAATGTCTCTTTAATCTTCTTTTCAATGTCTGAATAATCTCTTTCGTCATTAAATAGCTTATATGCTTCACTTGTTTGTTCCATAAACACTTTCATTGACTCAATATCTGGTAGTTCATCAGTTATTTTATAGTTTATAGCTTCCTCATCAATTCTTGAGAAATCAGCAAGCCATCCAAGCAAGATAATAATGTTATTAAGGCAATGTGGTGCATTTGGTGTTTTAAGGGATGATTTGTTGTTACTAAATGGATATTCCAGTTGAATTAAGAGATTATGTGAGAAATCAATGTAGTTTGTTTGAAAATCCTTTGGTACACTGCCACAAATTGGTTCCAGAAAGTACTCAAGGATTGAAATGAAGTTTTTAAGGGTCATTGACTTTAATCCTTTTTGGACTAGCTCATTAAATCGATCTTGTTTTGATAATTCTTCGAGTACTTGCTGTGATTTTGTATAAATAAAATCTCTATCTTCAGTGGGTGCCTTCTCCTTCTCAGCAGTCATTTGGACAACAGTCATACGATCTCTAGATCCTGATCGATTTGGGGTTTTTGCTGGAGTTCGCATTGGAGTTGCTGAAACTCGTGGATATGATGTACTTGGACGAACATTAGATGATGCTGCTGCTGAAATTCGACTATTAAAGGCTGCAGCTGTTGTGCTGGGTCTAGAAACTGAAGATGTTATTCTGCTATTTCTGTAAACAAAAGTAAATACGATTTTAGATGTTAATTCGATTGATTTAAAGGATAACTTCTTACCGAGCAGGACGCTTAGTTGAGCTTGGTTGAAATTCACTAGTTCTTCTAGGTATTTGTGACATGGTTTTTAAGTTATAAATTAATTTAACTTTTATTTACCATTTATTTTTTTTTGGTCAGGTTTCAACTGCAAAAATTTCAAAAATAACCGTTGATTTTTCTGAGATGATAAAAATGATGCGGGAAAAAAGTAAACAAAGATATTGTATTGTACTTTAATTAATTAATTTAACATGTTTAACGACGTCGAATGTGATATTTGCAAATTTAAGTTCGAAGATAAGGCCCTCTACGGTAAATTCCTCAGAAGTAAATCAGTAGAATTTGACGCACATCATTACTGTCTATTAAGCGGGTCTGATTTTCCCCAAAAAGGTAAGTTAAAGCTATTGATGTCTTTAAAATGCTTAATTAGTAGACTTTCAGGCACAAAGAAGAATCCAGGACTCGAGGGATTTTTAGAAAATGATGTTATTAAAGCTTTCTCAACGATAAAGGATAACAAATGTATTCATTGTTGTGGTAATCATGCAGCTGTTAAATGTGCAGCTACTGGATGTGATAAGACATGGCATTATCCCTGTGGACGGCATGCAAATTGCATTACACAATTTATTGGCGAATTTAAATCTTATTGTTCTGAACATAATCCAGAAACGAATGTTTTGAGACATCCTGGATATGTCTATTGCTGTGTCTGTTTTAAGTTTATCTCATCAAATAATCCAGCATCTTGCATCTTCTCAAAATGTTGTGCTGAATTACCAAAATATAATCCTGAAATATCTATAAAATCCATTAAATTTGAGTGTTTTACACATGCTGCCTGCATCCAAAGATATACAGTTAATGCTGGATATGATTCAGTATGTCTCAATTGTAACATGAATGGAATGACTAAAGAGGAATGGCAAGATTATATGCGACGTCGAGGAATATTTATACCTAAACAGATGGCAACATGGGAAGATGATGAATACTTTAAGAAGCAGACAAAGAATAAATGTGAGCATAAAAATTGTAAGACTCCGAATGTCTCTAAAAATGTCTGGACATGTTTTGTCTGTGGATGTTTTCCTCTCCATTTGAAGTGTGCTGGTGTTACCTCTCATGATGAATACTATTGTCCAAAGTGTTACGATCAGAGCTTCATCAATTTGATTCCAACAACATCCAATAATATTAAAAAGTAAAGCTTAAAAATTAACGGTTTTTATATTTTATAATTGTTTTAAATTTGTCATCTCGGAAATTTTATAAACAAAAAAAATTGCGAAAATAGTCACTTTTAATAAAAAAATAAAGATAATTAAAGATGTACCGACATACAGGTTTAGTAAAGAGCCTTCAAAATTGTTCGAGGATATCCATAAACGCAAATGTAAGTGATATTACTTGCTATTATTAACAATAAAGTGATTTTCACAAATTGTCACATTTCTTGTAATTATAGAATGTAAATAAATTAAATTTACTAAGGAACTTTAGTCACCTTAATAGCCGAACATCGCCGGTTATTCTCTTTGAAAACAAGAAATTCGAGATCAAGACAAATGCAATCAGATTCGCAAGTTCCGATATATCACTAGAAAATATCCCAGAACCGCCTCAAGTTCCAATACAGGATTTTGTTGAGAAGGGTATAGAAACATCCCAGGCATTAGCTGAAGGCGTAGAGCCTGCATTTAGTACATTAGGCTTAGGCGGATGGACTCCAGTTGGAATGGTCCAAAATTGTATGGAATTTCTACATATTAGTTGCGATATTCCTTGGTGGACGACAATTTTGATAGGAACGATTTGTGTACGAACGATTATTTTCCCTTTGGTCATTATGGCACAAAGAAATGGTGCAAAACTTGCCAATAATATGCCACAACTTCAAGTTCTTCAGGCAAAAATGACAGAGGCACGTCAAAGTGGAAATGCTATAGAAGCTGCTCGATATTCACAAGCTATGGTTGAATTTATGAAGGAAAAGAATGTTAATCCACTTAAAAACATGATTGTTCCATTAGCTCAGGCACCACTTTTTATTTCATTCTTTGTTGGATTACGTCAAATGGCAAATGCTCCCGTAGAATCAATGAAGGAAGGTGGACTTTTCTGGTTTACAGATTTAACAGTTGCTGATCAATTCTTTGCTTTACCAATCATCACGAGCATAACAATGTTGGCAACAATTGAATTGGGAACAGACAGTGCAAGATTACAACATCAAAACATGCAGACAATGAAATATGTCTTGAGAGCATTGCCATTTGTGATTTTACCATTCACAGTTAATTTTCCTGGTGCCATTGTTACATATTGGACATTCAGTAATATTATTTCCCTCATTCAAGTATCATTTTTAAGAATTCCAGCCGTTCGCGAATACTTTAAAATTGATAAAGTTGTTCCACAGAAAACAGCACCAGTAAAGAAGAAGGGATTTAAGGAAGGACTAAAAGATTCATGGACAAATATGAAAATTACAAGAGAATTGGAAGAACGTAAACGTCTCGACGAGATTTTGTTTCAAAAAGCAGCAAAAGGATCCATCCAAAAAACCTATAAATATGATCCAACGAAACCAAAGCCAGCTACAGCAATGGAAGCAAAGAAACGATAATTTTGTGCTGGTTCCTTAGTAACTTATAATTTTTATTAAGAATTCAATTAATAAAGAATATTCATCGATTAGATCTAGCGATACATTGATTAACTACCTCAAGTAGCGTTGAATTCTCTAAACTTGCAGATATTCTCTCCTTATCAGCTAGCTGTTTGTTTATAGCATTCTCAGACGAGTGAGTTCCTGGTGTTATTTGAACGGATATTTTAAATCGAGGCGGAAGAGATCTGAGTAGTTTTACTCGAATACTTAATCCAATAAGCGTTGCCATACTGTAAATGAATTTTAATGAAAGCTTATTATTATTGATATTATGTAAAGGAAATAGACAATTTGATAAGGAATAATGGCAGTACCTGCAATGTGGAATTGTAGGCGTAAAAAGAATACGAATGAAGCTCTTCTCATTATCAACCTCAACTCGACTCTCTTCTAATACATGCAATTCCTCTAATGTCAATGGATGCTCTGGATCATTAATATTCCTTATTAAGTCTGTAAATAGTGATGAAAAGTATAAATAGAATTATTTACATAAAGAAAATGCATTGGAAAATGCGAGAAAATTACCAAAAACTTCTCTAGAATCAATTGGATCGACTGTATTCTCATTCTTTTCACTCTCACTGACTGGACGCTCGTCTGACTTCTTAAATATATTCGGGTTTATATTCTCCAGTTCCATCTTATAGGCTTTTTTACGATAATTATCAAGACTAAAATAAATTCTTTAAACAAAACATAAATTCTGTGCGAGGAATGGTACTCGATATGTAATTCCTTCTTTTTGGTATCGAGTGTCTTGAGGATGTTCCTTAAATGAGTCGCTTTAGTAGCTTATAGCTTCTATCTTTCGCTGTAAATTGGCACTTAACTTCAATTGATTTACAACAAGTTTCATAGCAAATGAGGAACTTGAAAGAGTTCAAAAAGTAAACAATGAGTTACCAGCGCTTGGTTGATGTGTAACTGATGTGTAAGCACTAATTCCGAGTTGATCTAGCTTTTTTTGAAAACAAAACAAAAACATGTAAATGTTCAAAATACATTTCTCGCATAAAACAGGTAATATCAATTAAATCCACTTGCTAGACACCATAATCTCAACCTAGTTTACATGTTCCTAAGAATATCATTAATTACAAGCTTCATTCAATTACTTTTTGATTAATTTCGTCATATCAAGAAATATGTAAAAATAACTGTCAAATAATTTTTAAAATCACCAAAACATTGTGTCATCTCAGACTTAAATATTTTGGTTCATTTTCAAAAAAAAATCTTAAATAAATTATTCTCACGTATTAATCAATTTATCTCAACAGTGGGATTTAATTTAATGAATCCATCGAGTTAAAGTGCTATAAGGAAGCATAAGTGATGGTTAAAAACAGGCATGATTAATAGAATGGTGAAATCAAAAATTTGAAGTTAAAAAAGATATTTTGTGCAAGTGAAAATTTTAAATTGTGAAATATTATAAATAAGGAACTTTCTTAGCAAAAAAGGACTGAATTTAATGCAAATTGGGCTGTTTTGAATGGTTTTTTATACGTAGATTAGTGCATATTAGGTCAGACAAAAGTGGATTAAAGTGAAAACTTCCAGCAAAAAGATCCAGAAAAAGACAACAACAAAGGAAAAACAGCTGATTTGCTAAAGAGAAAAAAATTAGGTGATTTCATTAAAGGTTCACTTACTGATTCGTATGAAATAGACAAATCCGAAGTAATTACCATCAAATAAATTAATTAGTAGCCCAAAGTCATCAACTTTTGTAGAATTTTGTTCAAAAGTAGACTGAAAAGTGAATAGAAGTGAATTTTTTGAAACGCAATAAACAACAACAAGCATACAGCACAGCACAGTAAGAAAAAAGGGAGAGTTGAAATCGACATATTTTAAAGAAGAAAAGGGAATAGCTTAATACTGGCTACTAGAAAAGTTTATCAAATATGAGTCGTAATCATCGTACCCGCCTAAAAGAGACACTCTTCCTCGATGGCGATAAGCCTTCATTACTCGAGACAGTCTTCAAATTTTTGGCCAACAATCTAAGCTTGATTAGTCAACTTAATACAGAAACTAACACATGGGAATTAAAAGATGATGTGATTATACCGAATGAAATTTGTGATAGGTAAGTTACACATGAATCTTCATTTTTCTGTTCCTGAATTGATTATTATTGATATTTACATTAAATTTTAAATATGTGACATTTTCGAGACCTCTCCCATACTACATTAATGATTTTTTTTTTTCGTTTCGTTCTGCCTGTAACGTCATTGAGAAGATAAGAGACGAAAAACCAATGACCAATTTTCAGCGTATTTCTTATTATTTTGATTTCTGTGTGTATGTGTGTATGTATGTGGTTTAATGACGTAATTTTCTGTCTATAATATTTATAATACATATATGACTCGGATGGAATAAGAATCACATGTGCATTCTTTCTCTACATTCACAGATTCAATAGCTTTATCAGAAATGTCAAAATAGTGAATAGACATGTTTTCTTAAACATGTCGTCGATCAGATTAATAATTCATACATATTATGAAATGAGATAAGAATAATGTTAGTAAAATGCTAGAAAACAGGTTTAGACTGCCTTAATGCTAATTATGTTTGTGCTACCTGCTACTACTGCTCTACTGAATATTTTATACGCGTAAAAGCAATGTCGAGCCCTTCAAATCCTGTGCTTTTATGCATCATCTGAAATATTTCACCTTAACATTGACGTATTTTGTAATGATTAGTGCTGATTTTAGTTGAGAATGTTGATTAATATGGAGTTGCATAGACAATAATTTTTATTCTCTCGTTTCCTATGTTCAATTGCTGAAAGGTGTTTGGTTCAAAATACAATATAAAATAATAATTAGAATTGACATAAACGCATTTTTGGTGCAAACATTTGCTGAATCATTTTAAACTTTGAAAACTAAACGGATTTATAATATCTGAGATTTTGGAACAATTCAAGCAATTTCCATCTTTTATTTTATAAAAGAATAATCTATAAAAACTGTTTTTTGAAATTCAAATTTCATAACAGTGGAAAAGAAAATCAATTTTCTGAACGCACTCATCACGGGGGGTGGGGGGGGGGGCGATCATGTAGAAAATATTTCTTAAAAATGTCTGATTTTGAATTTCACAATCTTTAAGCTCTAAAACCCAAAGCAATTCGTTAAAAAGTACATATTTAATTGGACGGTCGTTGTCAATACTTAATTCAATCATGTCTGATCATTTCGCATTTTTGAGATATTTGAGATATTTGTTATTTTACATAACCAACATTTCCCGCATTTCTTAGGCTTAATATTATGAATTGATCAATTACTTAAGCATGAAATTATCCAACAACTTACTCAAAATATTAAAAAAGTTTATTTTTGGTGAATGGCATGCGCCTAATAATAGAATTAATAATATTATTTTGTAATTTCTTTTTGTCTTATTTTACTTCCTTCTCACTCACTCTCACTCTTCGCTGATCAATATAATTGTCTAAGAATGAATATAAATAGACATAAGTAGTCGTATATCTTCTATATTTGCATGTATATTTACTTATGACTCGAAATTGAAAACAAAATCAGAGATTTTTGATTTGTCTTGTTATTGTTGTAATGCTGCACAGATAGTGATGTCATTTTGTCTACTTTATATCATCAATTATTGAACATACCCTCATTTGATTGTACACTAGTATTGTGCTGGCATTGATAAGCTTAATTGAACTTGAGATATGTGAGAATTATTTTATTGGGGTTGTAATTTATGATTGTTTTTGTGGAATCGGGCAAACTATTGCTTGATTCAATTCTAACTTGGTTCTAGAGATTTGGGATCATATATCAAAAAATTGAGTCAAGGACTCTCAAACTGTCACAAAATGCTAAAATGCAGAATTTATTCAAGGATCGCGTTGCCTCGTATAGCTTTTTTTGAATTTCGACACTTTAAGACAACGACCTCCCTCATAGTTCTGTAGTCAAATATCCTCTACTTTTCATTTCCTCAAATAAGAATGAAAAGTTTTTAAATTTCAACAAAATAATATTTAAATTTGAATTCTTGTCGAGGTCACAAATATTCTTTGAAACTTGCGAAATATTTTATTATAAGAATTTGTTTATGACTTAATGCTGCAACTTATCTTTTATGATTGTTTGTATAAAACTTTCGCACCTTTCCGGTTTTGTTTGCCTAGAAGTTTTGGTTAAGGGTAATTCCATGAGTGAAAAAAATTTTGTTGCACCAATTTTTCAAAAATATTTCCTTAACTAAGAACTTTGTACTCCAAATTGTAACTTTATTATGTTTATTAACACAATATTTATCTCCATATGTGAGAATTTCACATCAGAAATATGTCTAATTTTTATTTTTTTAATAAAAGTAAAATTAATCGGTCAAGTTTTCGAAAAATCGTTTTCTAAACATTTCCTAATATTTACTTAAATACACACTTCTATGTTCCAAAGTTACTTTTAACATATTAGATATTAGCCAGGCTTTTGTTTTATGTATAATTTGCATTCCTTAATGCTGTAATTAAGAAGAAAAACCAAAAACACTAGCATTAATCGGTCAATTTTTGACCGATTATTGCAAAACAGAACACTGAAAAAATTTCAAATTCACAAAAACCGTTAGACTTTCTTGATTTTACTTGTAAGTTTATTAGATTTATTTGATTTAATGGAGCAAGTAACTAAAGTTTCAAAACATTAAAGATCATATATATTTGTACCATCTCTCTTTGATGATATTGCGGCTAATTCACTTGTAAAAACAACAAAACGTTAAGAAATTATAACGGTTTTGGGAAATTTGAATTTTTACAAGTAGAGAAATATTGTATAGTGCTTTTTCACAGTTCTCATTACTCATGGAATTACCCTTAAATAAGAAATTGTTCAGTTGTGACGTCGTTGGAAAAACAGATGGGAATTTCAGACTTTATTCTTAACTCGTTATAAGTTTATAAGGCTTAGTAGAGGTAAAAATAGGGTTAAAAAGTGCAGGGGTTTAATAAAAAAATCAATCATGCTCATATTTTATCCTTAAATGCTAACTGATATTTTCGTACAGGATTCAAACAATTCAATTTGAACAGGATTTTGGTAAAACCAAACACCTATTCCAATCGAGGAATTGCATGAGCACACCTTGTTGTAGCAGAGAGTATGCTGTGCTCATTGTCTGATAGAATATGCTTTGCTTCAGAAATTTTATATCTGAATTTAGGTTATATTTAATCAGTAATTAAGTTATAAAGTTAAAAAAAAAACAATTTACGGATTTGAGTAAATTATAGATTTGGTCCGATTGTCGCGTTTAAACTTGTGGGCCGTTGTCCTTCTAACATATCCAATTTTGCTCTAATGCCACTTAACTTTGCAAATAAATTTACCAAAATGAATTTTGTTTTTATTTTAATAAATTTTAATTTTAAGTAGGAATACGATTTGGGTGAAACAAAGAAATCTTCTTCATAATTAGTGAATCACTTGCAATTAATCATCAAATTTAACTTACGAAATCATTTCGTTATTTAATGAAAATTAATTAAACAGATTTTGGTTTTTAAAAATTAATGGAATTTTACTTTTTATTTGAATTAAATGTTGATTATTTGAAAAGATTAAAAATTATGAAAATAAATTGCGAAATCAAACTTTTCAAAATTAGATAATTTTCATGTATTACTTAGGGGCTGTTCACTTATTACGTAACGCGAAAAAATGACTTTTTAGACCCCCCCCCCCTCCCCTCGTAACAAAATTTGTATGAAAAAAAAATTTCCTTGTTTGAACCGTAACAAAGTCTTAGACCCCCCTCCCCCCCTAAAAGCGTTACGTAATAAGTGAATGGCCCCTTATTTTTTGTGTAAAATACTTTCAGACTTGTTACTGTCTCAAATGTATGAAAAATATTAAATAAATTTTATAGTAACTTCCACGCATAGCATGTATTTTGAGATTTACATGATTGTATGGGTTATTAATGAATGAGTTGACATTATTGTTAATTTTTGGTTAGAAAACTTCAGATGAAAATTAAAGTTCGTTCATCAAGGGGCCGTTCACTTATTACGTTCGCATTTTAGGGAGGAGGGGGGTTTGAAAAATTGTAACATAAGGGGAGGGGGGGAGTGTCAAGAAGGATGTAACGTTCTAAGTGTCGTCTGTCTTTTAAAAAAAGTTCACGAAAAAAATTTGTTTACAAATTCACACCAATACATAGTTTTTGTTATATAAAGTAACAAATCAATAGAAAACTGGTTTACAAGACTTTAAAATACAATCATAATTTGTGGAAATTAAATCAATCATAAGTTTAAAAGTAAATCTCTCTAAATCTGTCATTCATATGATGATTAATATGATCCCATCATTGTGATATTTATATAAAAGTTGATTGAATTCTCCAAAATTCGATCGGGCATAATATTTTTCATGACATTTTTGAATTTTCTCAATTTTCTTCAAAAAAAAAAAAAAAAATTTGCTTTATATGTTAATCCAATAAGTCATGAGAATACTAATAGTATCAATCAAAACATGACCTATTAAGCTGTACAGTATTTTGATGTGTAAGAAATTTAACCGTCTTTTTAGATTTAAAAGAAATAAAATAAAATTATGAACGTTCAGGGGGGGGGGGGGGGGGGAGTTGTGAGTTGTAACAAGGGGGTGAGGGGGGTGAAAAAAGACGTTTTTTTGCGTAACGTAATAAGTGAACGGCCCCTAATTAAGTTCGATTTTTTAAAGGAAAGAAGGGGAGAAGTGGGGGGGGGGGGGGGTTGTGGTTCTATGTGGTTAATGTAGTAAATTAATTTATAATAAATTAAATCAGAATACCCCAAAAAAATCCCATTTAATCATTTAAATCTAAAATTCCCATTCCAACATAACACATGCCGTCCATAACACCAAACTAGACTAAACAAATGTATTTCAGAAACTAGAAACTACAAAGAGAAATAGTGATGACATCTGCAATAGTTTTTTTCTCTATTTGCTTTAAAGACTCGAAAAAGTTGAATGAATGAAAGTGAAACCCGAAAAAAATAGACAGCACAGCAAAGAAAGAGATACAATGTCACATTTTTCATTATGATCAACAAAAAAAAAACTTAAAAGTTGAATAAAAACAATGGAAATGAAAATGAAAAAAAAAGAGAAGTTACATCATCATAATGCATTCAAGGTTTTTATAGCATTAACATAAAACTCCTCTGTAACTGTAACGGATGTTTTTATTTTTTACTAATTTCTCTAGAGAAGTAAAACTATTTTGGTTGGTGTTGTCGTAGGTAAAAGAAATTAGTTTATTCGGTCGATTGCAAGCATAATGTATAAAAAGTTATTGATTTGTTTATTTTTTTGGCAATGCTACTTAATTTTGGAAGTCTTTTTTGAGTATAAATAAAATTTTAAGTATTGAGGCATGGAAAAGTATGTCGGATGGAAGTTTATAGTGCTGTAGAGTTTGTTCAAGGATGTATCCAGGGCAAAGGAGTTGAATTGCTTCTCAAATGATGTCACACATTTGAATGATCTGGAAACATCTTTTAAATTCCTAGCTTATTTCTGCTACATTCAGCTTACAATCATGAAACGGAACAAAGTTTTGATTATCACTATTGAGTTCTGTGGATTGCTTTAGTTCTATTGCGAATATTTGGAGTTTAAGTTCTGTTTATTTAATTTCCAGGAACTGGAGCTGGATTCATTCCACCATTTTGGAGATCTTGTGGAGGAGGTGGGGGACCTTGAGGTGGTCCTTGTTGAATATTTCCTTGATTATTTTGAGTCTGCTGTCCTATTTGGCTATTTGGAGCATTTTGATTGCCTTGTTGTCCTTGATTGTTTTGTGAATTGGGTGGTGGAGGTGGAGGTGGGCCATTTGGAACTTGCTGACCATTATTTTGGCTTGGAACTTGCTGTTGACCATTATTTTGACTAGGACCTTGCTGCTGACCATTGTTATTACTTTGTAGGTTATTTCCATTATTATTTTGAGGCTGTTGTGCATTATTTAACTGCTGGTTATGTTGTCCGTTACTTGATTGTTGATTATATCCGTTATTTGATCTTTGTTGACTATAACCTTGCTGACCATACCCTTGCTGTTGACCATATCCATATTGCTGCCCATAATATTGCTGATTATTTCCATATCCTTGAGATTGTCCATAACCATATCCTTGTTGCTGATATCCTTGATTACCGTACCCTTGTTGTTGATAGCCTTGATTTCCGTACCCTTGTTGTCCATAATTACCAAATAATCCTTGACTGCTACCTTGTTGATTGTAGCTGTTATCATAATTTTGAGTTTGATATCCGTAACCACTTCCATAGTCACTATATCCTTGTGGCTGTTGATTATAGGAATTGTAGCCTTGCTGATTGTAGCCATTTCCACTGTTCCCAAACAATCCTTGTTGCTGACCATATCCCTGTTGACTGTAGCTTTGCTGATTATTAGTATTTCCTTGTTGACCAAATAGTCCTTGTTGTCCATATCCTTGATTGTTTTGGTTATATCCATAAGAATTGTTCGGACGTTTTGTTGATGTTCTTCTGCCTCTTTGACCGTAATTTTGGCCATTGACGTAGCAAACCTTAAAAGTAATGAAGTAAGTTCTTGTTATTTGACAGCTTTTATAATTTTGTGCACGAATAAATAGCGCTTCTGTGAGCTGAGAAAGCCCAAATCAGTTTTCCGGAATTAAAAAATAACGGAACTTCCGAGAATTCTATAAATTAGAACAGAGATACTTACTAATGCCACAGCCAATATCACTAAACTTATTTTGGACATTTGAAATTGATTTATTAAAGATGTAAACTGATAACAGTTGGATATCCGATTTCAGCTTATATAGCACAACTTATTAGTGCCAAAAAAATGTTTTGTAAATTTTACGGAAGTCGTAAAAGTAAATATCAATAATTTAATCATTGAAAACATCAACAAGTCTAGAAATTATAGCATGTAAAAGATAATAATGGTGCAAAAATGTTTAATTTATCTAATTTCAGATTTATACAATTCTATCAAAGTTGCTCGTTGGACATAAATGACAGTTTTATTAACATTTTCAAAGATACAAATAGAACGCCACTAAAGTTCGTCTCACTACGTAATGGCTCAATATCGGACGATGGAATGCGACATCTTTTAAATCATAAGTTAATATCATTATCATTATGGTATTGTGAGAAATTAACGCATGCAACATGGCAGCATTTAGTTGCAAATGGAAGTGAATTAAAGAATTTAGAGCTCGGAAAGTTGGTGGATGTGCTGAAAAATCATGAGCCAAACGAGAAGACACCATTAGATTTTCAATTAGCCCTACCAAAATTAAAGCGTCTTGTGCTTAATGGTGTTGCACTTCAATCATCTGTATCGTTTAGTCATTTACATGAGTTATCATATCTTGATCTTACAGCATGTCTCTTTGCTGACTTTTCACTTGAAAGTCTTATTCATCTTCCACAATTGCAAACATTGATATTATTTAATGTATGGCCATTGGAACGTGAAATACCAACGATATGCAAATTGAATAATCTACGAATGTTAGATATTTCATTATCAAAGTCCATGATGCCTTCCTATTCATCGCCCAATAAGACATTGGAGTTTATTGTCGAAAGTCTACCATTATTAGAACATTTAGATATATCTGGAACTAATCTGTGAGTACTTTATTTGTTTATTATCTGACTAGTGTTTTAGGGGTCCGAAACAGATCAGTAACGTCTTTCTATGCTCAATATCCATAACATTCAGATAACGAGCATTTGAGAGAACTATAGTAGAGTTCCTTATTAAAGACTATTGATATTGTGATCTCAAAACATGCTAGTTTGATCCACTTCCCTTTATTCCATAAGATATTAACTGTATGTTTTTATTTACCACATATTCAGAGCCGGAACGGGAGTAGCACAGCAAGAAGCTACATGTGGTGGTCACAGTTCCGATATTCCAGGCTTAGCAAGTCGCGTTGAACGCCCATTAAAATTCTTAGGTTTATATGATACAACAAATTCGGCATGTCGTCGTCATGACATCCCGTCACTAACAATTGCTGGTGATGCGAACGAGGATCAAATTCTATTATCTGCCATTATGTATCAAGATCGTAATGAAATGCTCACCAAAGTGCTTAATGACTTGTATCATTTGCTGAGATTTGAGAATTGTACGCAAATTGATCGAGCATTACGGGCTGTGCTGATTGCAATGGATAAGCACATAAGCGTTAAACATATTCAAATATCGGGAAGTGCAACATTATTTTACATAGTAAAAAGCAAAGAAAAAGTCAAATTTGGATCGATACTAAAGAATCATATAATTCGTACTTTATTAAATGGAATGTCTGCTCATCTCTCGGACGATACGATGATGAGGAATGGATGTTTAACATTATGTCAATTCTCAATACCATCGGATGTTGTAAGTCCTTCATTTTAATCCGTATTTGCTGATTTAATTTACATGTCGCTTCTTTACTATTTTTCCCCCAGCTATTTGAGTATGAACGTCTTGTGAGAATTTTACTGCATGGTGTTAGTGATACAGAACAGAGCTTCGTACAGCGCATTGCTATTTATTTATTAAATTCTCTAGCATGTCAAGTGGATGGAAATCAGAAACTCTTTTTAGGCAATCTTGGAGCAATTTCGGTAAATTCTATGATTATTCTCATATTTCTTTTGTCAGCTTCTAATGCCTTACATCCTTTAGACAATGCTGAATCTTATTAATGATCGCCTAAATCGGAAGGTATTTGATGATGTGATGGAAGTCGCATGGTCAACAATGTGGAATGTGACTGATGAAACGGCTATAAATTGTGAGAGATTTTTAGACGGAAAAGGCATGGAATATTTCTTAGGATGTTTGAGAGTAAGCTACTGCATTTTATTCCTTCACAATTTCTCCAATTTTAATCTCTTTGTATTTTTCTATTAATTAGTGTTTCCCTGACAAAGATGAATTATTGAGAAACATGATGGGATTATTAGGAAATGTCGCGGAAGTGAAAACATTAAGACATCGTCTAATGACCTCTGAGTATATTGCTGTCTTTTCGGAACTGCTTTTTTCAAACAGTGATGGAATCGAAGTAAGTTACAATGCTGCAGGCGTATTGGCTCACATTGCATCTGACGGACCTGATGTATGGACTATTCAGACACCGTCACGTGAGGACGTACTCAATCGGATGTATTCTGCTATAGATCGATGGAATTTGGAGACAGAAAGAAACATTAATTATAGAAGTTTTGAGCCAATATTGGGATTAATTAAATGTTATGAGACACCGGCTTGTCAAATTTGGGCTGTTTGGGCTCTCGCTAATTTAACTAAGGTGAGTAATTCGAGGCTTCTTAGAAACTGATAATTTTGATCCTCAAAAGCCGTTAAATTTTTATTTGAATTCCCGCTTAAAATATTTTTGCAAATTTAAATTTCAAAAGTTCGTTGAAACTTAATTAGAAAAATAGCACAGCTTAAAGCTAATGACTATGAAAATTATCAGTTTCGAAATAATAATAGAAGACACCATAAATAATCACTTCCTGTTTCCCAAAATAAAATATAGGTTTATCCCGAAAAATACTGTAAATTAGTGGAGCAAGAACACGGCGTAAAATTGTTAATGGATTTAATGGATCACATGGAAACATGCGAAAAACTCAAAGAATTAGCACAAATAGTTCTGACTAACATCGATCAGAATAATCAGAAATATATGGAAGAATAATATTAGTATGAAATGATGGTGGCACCTTGATAAAAAATAAAATCCGAAATAACAAGGCAGCTACCATCATTTAAGGTCAAATAGAATTATTAATCGTTCTAGTTATGTTAGTCCTTTTTGTTGTTGAGAAAATAGTGTTTATTATCTTTTTTTGTCTCTCAAGGATATTAATTTGTTTAATTTATGATTTTTTTGTGAAGATTTCTTTGAATTGAAAAAAAAAATCAAAAAAAAAACATTAAACTGAGTAAAATGTTGATTTAAACATTTCATAATTTTTTAGAGCATTTTAACATGAAGAATGTAAATAACAATAAAATTTTGACAATGCTTCAAAATGAAAGGATTAGAGGAGATAGAAAATCTAGAAAATAAAAAATTAAATCTAGTTAGGAAACTCTTTTACTATTCTACACCTTCTTCTCTCAAAAAAAAAACACAAAACACAAGAAAAATGAAAAAAATTGTAAGCAGCATGAGCAGCAGTAGATTACCAAAGCAAAGAAATTTTTATCTTTTTTGTCTGTTTATTAGGAATTTATGATAATAATAATTGTAAAGAGTTTGTCACACCTTTGACTTTTTAAATTGATTAGAATATTGTAAAATTGGAAGTCGATACGAGAACAACAAAAGTTATTGGAGTTGCTTGAAAGCTATTTTTTCTACATTTAATGGAAGTTCTTGTCTTTTTTTTGGAGCAAATGTTTTTGTAGGGCTTAGAAATATGTAAATTTTTATCTCCTAATAAATTTTATCTATTTTGTAAATAGTACTTGATGGATGGACGAATAAAATGCTAATTTTTGCTCATAAATAAGAAATAGTAACACAGCAAAGTAAAATTGTATTGCAAAGTTTTGAATAATAGAGAGAGAAAAGTTTCAAAACCTTACAATTGTTTTTGTGTGTTTGAAAACCTTACAAATTCTAATTCAAAGCCGATAAAATTCATATTGGAAAACATTTGTGAGGTTTTCTTTGAATTTCAAAGTATTTGTAGGGTTTTCAAACACTCAATAAACATTTGAAAGGTTTCAATCATAATTCAAATCTTGAAAAGCCGTTAAAACAGTCAAAAGTTATTTTTCTTTCAGAATTCAGAAAATAAAACTGCAATATCCTCTTAAATATTTATAAAAAAATAAAAAATTATTGTTACAATTAATTAAAGCATATTAAATTAACGATTCTTCTCTTTTACGTTTCATTCTAAATTTCAAAAAATTATAGTTTTTCTTGCAAGAATAATTGAAATAATGATAAAAGTAAACCTAGTAATAAAACTGATGTTTGATCAGGAAAAATGCTGAATTAAACTTCAAAATCATGTGATCGCATTGAAATTAAGCTTAATTCAAATCATGGACACTACGTCTATTCAGCATGCATGACTCGAATTTTTAAAGAAAATTTTAAAGCTTAATTCTCAAATTTTGTCGTTTAATTCAGCAATTGATCTTTAACCGCTCCTATCTATATGTTTTGTAATAATTTGTAATTTATATTTAAATTCATGTCGCTTTTCCTTCCTAATTCTTTGTTTTTTGAACCATTCAACTTATAAATATTAGAAATATATTTAATTTTAATGACATTTAAATTTAATGAAATTAATAAGTTTTGTTCTTTTTGTGAAGATGAAACAAAAAAAAAACTGAGCGAAAAATATAAAAATGATGAAAAATTAAAATAACATTTAATTAAGTTTTATTTTTTTTCCTGTGAAAATTTTTAAAATATATATTTTTGAAAATTTCAAATCTTTGACGATTTAATTCTTTAATTTTTTTTGAATTTACAGCCATTTCAGGATGTGCGTCTTGAACTAAAGGAAGTATGTACCCTGTTTTTTTGTTATAAGCTAGTAGCTTAGAAGAATAAAAAAGTGATTTTTTTGGGCCACTAGTAGCTTAGTAACGAGTAGTAGCTTATAACGAAAAAACAGGGTAAGTGGAAAAAGGAGAATATTATTGGGAAAAGATGGTATGATGTACTCTAAACTGATTTTCCAGCCCAACTTGCACACCAGAGCGGTTTGCAAGTCGTAAATCGAGCAACGTTGGTCATTTTAATCAGTTTTAAACCCTTTACACAAAGAATCCTCTCCACTGTGACCCCAAACCTTAAAACTACTTTCCAAATCCGAAATGATAAGTTCGTTTTCGCTTATCATTTCCATCGTCATCATTACCATCAGACTGCTTCTTCTGTCCATTATTTCCCATACGAACAAGATTGTATCCATTTCCACCAGTAAAAGTATAACGATATTGATGTCTATTTCCATTATTTTTATTCGGTTGTCCATCATTTTGTTGTCCATAATCAGGCTGTAGAGGAGATTCTGTTCGTGGTCGACGAGTTCGAGGGGGTCTTGTTTGTCGTTTTGTTGTTGATCTAGGTCTTGTTGGGGCACGAGTGGTTCTTGGTGGTCTGGTTCTACGTGGAGTTGTAATTCTTGGCGCTCGTGGATAGTATGTAGGCTGTGGATTGTAATAATATGGTGATTTAGTGCTACTGTGAGGAAATAGACTGTTTGGATATGGATTGCTATTATATGGTGGATATGGCTGACTAATCATTGAATTAGGAGGTCTATTTGTTGGATAATTGAATAAGCCAGTTGGATAATTGTATGAATTGTTCCATTGTGGCTGTGAGTAGTAATAATCATTAGTTCCATAGTCATTGTAATTGTTTTGATAATAATCATATGATGGATATGAATAACTTGGAATTAATCCTTGATATCCTGTAGCTGAAGGATAGTAAGCATTACCATAATTAGGATTATAGCTTGAATTATAGCCAGACATAAAACCTCCTTGATTGAAGTTATTGTATGGATTCACATTAAATAATCCACTGTTGTACTGACTCGTATTATTCCATCCAGCATTTGGACTTCCATAACTATAATCATAATTCGGGTATTGATTAAATCCTTGATAATTGTAATTAAATCCTTGGTAATTGTAGTTGTATCCTTGATTCACATTAAAAAGCCCTGATGAACTTTTCACAGTTATTGGTGATTTTGTCGTTTTACCGCCGAAGCATCCCTGTTGGAAAATTGCATTATTTTAATCTCAGATTAGCTTTAAGATTAGATTTTGCAAGTGCGCTTAGGATTAATTATTCTAAAACTTACATCCAAAGTCACCAGCAACAGCAAAAATATTCTCAACATCCCTTTACTCTTAGTCCAGAGAATGAAGCAATCCGACTGTTTTTGGCTTAGCATCAATTCTTCCTTTTATACCTGAAATTGATTTTGTTCATGAAACTAAAGAAAAACGGAAAAAGATTTAATAACCATTCATTTGCTGTAAAATAATAGACACAAAGTGACTAAAATTATAGATATTGGTGAACAGTAGGTTGCTGAAAATTAGCCGCTCACCAGAAATTTTTAAAATTTGACATTGTGGGAAATTTAGACATCCGAAAAGAGATTAAAATTTATAAATAAGTTCGACACACCCACGTTTAGCTTGGTATAGATTATGGCCAGACAAAGGAAAATTATGAAACTTCAAATATTGTTAAGCTTTAGGTTTGATTTGGTTATTTCTTGAAATAATAGTTGAAGTCTCAACAAACATTTTAAGTTTCAATTAATTGATCTTAGGTATACTTGGGTTTCCTTCATCTTAAAGGGATCTCAAAAAATGATTCTGACTCCAAAACCTATCCTAGCTACGCTCCTGGCTCCTAGTATCATCTGAAATAAACATTGGTAAAACAAAAAGGTTGTCTCCTATTTATTTTCGTTTTAATCATATCTTCTTTATTTTATGTTCTTTACTAAAAATGCTTCATTTTCTTTATTTTTGTGTATGTTACATTAACTAAAGTAAATTAATAAATTTTTTTAATCGTAATAAAGCAGACATTTGAAGGATTTTATAATTATAGAAATTTATAAAGAAGTCGTTCACTTATGACAATCATCAAAAATAGGATCTTTCTTCATACTTTGTTAAAAAATCAATGATGCAGAAATGTTCTTTATGTATTTTGCATAAAATTTTTGATTTTGTTTTTATTTTATACACAAAATATTTAATACCAACTCTTAAATAATGAACATCATGAGTGAATAACCTTTTAGAGCTTCAATGTTATTAGATTCTCCGGTATAAGTCATTCTTTTTGGAGGTGATCATTGAACAGCTTGAAGCATTTCATCATAGTTTTAGTTTCTAACATCAATTTTGAAAAGTTGTCATTTATTCAATTAACTTTGAAAATTTGCAAAATAATGTCTGAATATACAGCTGTATAAGTAATGATAATACATCCTACAAAACAATTTTTGTCATACTGTTTTTCACACGACAGTTCTTATCATTTAAAACAGGTCTCGTGAGTTTTGAAGGTTCAATTCAGTTCATGTTGTCTTCATTTGACATAAACTATCCTCCAATTATTGTAAAAAACTAGCTAGCCTTCACTAAGGTGGATTATCCACTTTTTCAATCCAAGGATAATCCATAATTTTTTTTAAAAATCGTCAAACTGCACGGTGAATCAGAAAAAATTGATTTAAAGAAAATAATTTTTTGACGATGGATTTCACAAAAAAAGATTATCTTAGTTTGTGGATTATCCGAAGATTATCCTGAGATTATCCACATAATTAATCTAAAATGTTAAAACTTGGTCCCACCAAGATTGAAAATTCGGATAATCTTCAGGATTATCCTAGGATAATCCATATACTAAAATTATTTTTTTGCTATATTCACTATACAATAAAAAGAATTTTTCTCAAACTAGCCTGATTATTATTAACCAATTAATTCTACATCAGAAAAAAATTATTTGGATTTTCCGCGCATGGAAGAAATAGATAATCCTAAAATGAGGATAAATCATTTACTTCAATACACTCCTAATTACCAAATTCAATAACATTGAAGCTCATTCGAAACTTTAAAAAAGAAACTGAAACAAACGTTTCCTTTCACATCTATTGTTTAGCGTCACATGAGTTGTAATTACTTGAATTCTTTATGTATAAATTTTTGTGTAATTTTCCTTAATTTCTCTTTCCTTTTTGAACAATTCAGCATTTAAATACAAACATTAATCTTATTTTTAAATTTATAAAATGAAGAATGATTTTTTTTTCTGTCCAGAGTTATTGATCAAGTTCTTGATTATTTCAAATGTTGAAAAATTCAGATAAAGTCATTAAGTAGTTAAAAATAGACAGTAAGCAGCTGAATCATTAGATAATCAAGTAAATCCTTAAAAAAAGGAACTCTGAGTAGACATTTAATGACATTTAAGTTTAATTTAATTTCTTTTAAAACTTATTTTATGAATTCTGAACTTGCAAAGTGCCAAATCTACATCCTCTAAAGTAGTTCCTTCATTTTACAGCAAATCTTACAAATAAATTCTTTTACATTTAAGAGCTTTAGTCATATTAAGCTGTTCATCATAGAAATTACATTTTTTTATTAATATCTAACATTTATAGTTATAGTCAATATAATTTATGGCATATATCGTGTGATAACACTAAAAAATCTCATGCAATTTGCAAAAATCCACATCCAAGTCACGAAAAACAATTCTCTTACAAAATATCAATTTAAGCTTTCAAGTTTTTGAGTTCACTTCATTGTAAACCCAACACTCGATAAGCTTTCTCTGAATCACGACGTCACTTTTGTTTTGTTTAAGTCTACGCTATGATCATAAGGTTATCTTTCATTTACACATAAATATGTTTTTTCAACATTTAATTATACATCTAAGAAGGATGTGCTTTTTTTTCGTTTCTATATATAAATTTCCACGGTCTATTACCATTTCTGACGAAAAAGTCGTTCCACAATCTCAAAATATTAACCTTTGAGTTTAATATCAATTTGAGTTCTTGGTCAATCTTTGCTTTTCTTTACCCAGTTAAACAAATATCAATCCTGTTAATGGATACATTAAGATTTATTCTGGACAACATGTGGTTAGTTCCAGATTAGAACTCGAAGTATAACTCCGATTTAGTATAAAATGTCGTCTTAAGTTGACTGGAGCTAACTCGAATCAAATCCACAACTTCCATTTTAAAAAATTGATTACCCTTCACTTAAGACATAGCTTGACAAAATATAAGCTTGTGTCTTTGACATTCATTTCTTGACATATATTCATAGTAATAGCTCAATTGTGGAAGTTTCTAGCTCGCATCAGTCAATTTTCGTGTAACAAATAAAATCATTTAAGTTATGTGTTCAATTTGTTTCTGACTTTATATATCCTTGTCTATAATTAATCATTATCATTTAAATATACTTGTAATTTCATAAGTAAATAGTAGGTAAGTTCATTTTTGTGTAGGTTAGTCATTAACTACGATATCAAGTTTTGTAAAACACGTAAATTTGTAGGTAAACACACACATATTTAGACGGGACGAGACGATACGAATACATTTATATATCGGATGTACTGTGATCCTGATTCGGTTCGGGTGGCTCATCGAGGAGTTCAGTCGACGATGAAGTATCTTTCGGTGAACTTAGTGCTTTAGGCACGGGAAGTACTGATGGAATTTGTGAGAAATTCTCGTTAATTACATTCTTTAATTCTGATTCAGAATCTGGCTCATACCTTCGCATTGGAATATTTGATTTCTCACCTTCGAATGACTCTACATATCTAAAATCAGATCTATCACGTTGCTTCTTTGATCTCTCTTCATTCTCTTGATAATCACTACTATCCTCTTCATTTAATACCATTTCATCAATATCGTCTTCTCTGTCGACTTCCTGATATGGTGTCGTTGATGCTTGTGGAATTGATGAACGTAATGGCTCTTGTGTCTGTAATTCAAACTCATCATCATTTCTTGTATCATTTAGATCATTATTATTATTATTATTTTGTGTTGTAGCTGCAGTCGTTGATATTGGTGCTATGTTTGGCTTATCAACAAGACTTCCATGTACGGGAATTGAATTAGCCGGAACAATAATTTGTACAATTGATGGTGCTTGCATCATTGACATTTGATTTGGTGATAAAGGATGAAGTTGATTCGGTTGCATAATACTAGCCAATAGTTCCAATGGGGGCTGTTGTAACAAATTGTTGGATATTGAATCGACGGGAATTGGTAAATGTTGTGGTACAATACATGTTGCAATTCCGGTCAATCGTGCATGATACATTTCAAACATTCCGACTAAATGTGGGAGGTTCTCGTCACACAAAACTGGATTTTCTGTAGCAAAAAATTAAACACTTTATTAATAATTTCCCACAAGACAAACTATATGCAAACCATACCTTGCAATAAAATTTCCAATTTAGCAACAACGCCATGATTCGAACATCGAGTATTGGATACCAACTCAACTCCCATAGATGCAATTTCATTGTTTGATAAATCAGCAGTGCATAAGACTGGCAAACCATGAAAATCTTTTCCTGTTGTTGTCATCAAGTTGTGTGATGCATTCAATAGTTGTAATGTTGGAAGGTATGCCTGTTTATTAAATTTTATGAATAACAATTGAATTATTTGAAGCATAATCAAAAAACTTACCTTTGAGAACGCTTCCAAACTCTTTAATCGATTTTGAGACAAATCGAGAATCTCCAATTCTTCCATCCTCTCAAAATCTTCAGCATGAATATTTTCTAGCAAATTATCTGACAAAATAAGACGTCTTAAATTTCCAAGTCCCGCTAAGACTCCATCGAGTGATTTCAATAAATTATTTCCCAACAACAATTGCGTAAGTAATGTAAGTGATGGCATCTCAGCAATATTTCCATTTCTGCCTGTCAACTTCTCAATACGATTATGTGACAAATCCAGAAGACGAAGCTTCATTAAGCCATAAATCTCAGGCATAGAAAATTCACGTAACATGTTGTGGCTGAGATTCATATAACGTAAATTCGTTACATACAGCAGAGATTTGTTTAATGAGGAAATTTGATTCGATGCCAATTGTATCTCATCAATATTTTCCGATTTAAGAAATTCGTCCTGTGCAAGATATTCAATATCATTATTTTCCAAATACAATCTCACGAGGGAGCTACGATGCGAAAATAATCCATCCAATGAACGCAAACGATTGTCGTTGAAATAACATGTGTCGAGTGCAATGAGATTCTTTACTGTTTTTGGCAATCGTTCTAAATGATTGTGGGATGCCATCAACATAATAAGCTTCGGTGCATCGGGCAACTCATCATCTAATGTTTTCAAATTATTTCCATTAATAAAGAGCATTTTCATATCTGTCAATTGCTGTAATGTGCCATTGAGTGATGGAACTTTATTTCGTCCAATATGTAAGCTTGTAAGTGTCACCGGGAAGCAATCTTTCTCTAGTAATTCAATCTCATTTGATGCTATAACAAGGGTCTGCAGATTTTTTAATTTCCCAAAATCATTACTTCGTATAGTTCTTATCTTCCCGCGAGCTATATCCAATGTCCCTAAATTTGGCATATGCTCAAACGCTTCCCTCGGTATATCTTGGATTGCATTATCAGACAGACTCAGGACTTCCACTTTTGTTAGATTTTGAAAGGTCTCCATTGGCACTGAACTGTTGTAATTAAAAAAATGAAAAAAAAAATATTAATAATGTCAAAAAAGATTCAAAAACAAACATCTCATAAATTAATTGGGGTCAATAGACATTGAGAAATCGTTTTCTTTATTTTGCTTTTGGTTCCTCTTTTGGAAATTTTAGGGAATAAGAAGAGATGAAAGGATTGATTTGAGGTTTGATGATATTAAGCGCATTTTTCGGTTTTTATTAATTGACATTCTATATTTTAATTTCAAATTTCCTTAAACAATAATTGATGTCAAACATTTAGATTCCGGATTTTCTATAGCTAGAGGCAATCTTTGAATGAAATATACCATTTGTAAATGTTTTTAAAAATGTAATTTTAACAAGAGTTGAATATTATTTTAAGCTTCTTAAGTCAAGCCAGCACCAAGATTTATATCGACCCCGCTTTATAGTAGGATCAAGCGACTTACAATCTTAAGAACGTCTGAATTCGATCATATCAAGTTGTTTTCTTTGTTCTGGTAGATGCTTAAATTTAATTTCGTCAAGTATTAAAGTCAAATTAAGACGTATATTTTGGATAGAAAGTAGATCAGTGGATTAAAGTTTATAATCGAGTTTCAATGGTCGTAAACTTTGAACTAAGTATAAGTAAAAAGTCATAAGAGGCAATTAATATCTAAAGTTTATTTATTTGTGGTTGGTTCTTCTGGTTTATCCTGGTTAACCCTAGTATTACAGATATAAATCCGAGAAGCCTACTCCTCTACATACATCAACCCTAATGTTATATTCTGTTCTAATTTTCACTTATTTTTAACAAATTGACAAAATTGTGGACTCAAGAGACATCACTATGATAATTTTTCATTTGTTATAATATTTTAAGTCCACATTCATTTAAATAGAAACTGGTTCCATCACATAGTAAAACTTAAGTGCTACACAAATTTGTTACATTTTAATCAATTAATTTAATTCGCATTACAACCAATTCTATCAAAGATAATGACTAGTATCTGTTGAAAGTGGCGCCTTCGTCAATCATTTGATTTTAGTTATGCGAGAGTTTAAAAAGGAATTTGTTGTGTTGTTTATTTGAAAGGAACATGAAAGATAATGATTGAAAGTATTTTTTTTTAAATTTACATATGAAGCGTGCCAAAAACATTTCTTCTTTGTTTCTAGTGGAATTCCTTAATAAATTCTTATCTGGGCAAATATGTTGTAGTAGAATATGTCATTTGGAATGAATTCTTAAGCGAAAAATAGCGGGAATTTCATGGCCAGCACAAGAGATAGTAAAATATAAAATAGTTTTGGGAATTGAATATATCCCGAGCAGGAGATTCATACTATTTTCAAGGTGTCGTCAAAGCATCTCCAGATCATTGTGTTCATTAATTGTTTATTCAACGACATGGTGATGCTTTGAAGACTACGTTGCTTCTTTTGGGATATGTAATGGTACATGACGTAGAAATAGCGAAGAATAGTGACACCTGGCTGGCATTAGTCTGCTTTGTTTGAATGAAGCTCTACATCAGAATCACTCCCGGCTTGTACGTCGTGAATCATTCTGGTAAGTTCACAAGAGTTGAACTGTAAAAAGCTGAATTGATGGTTTGAAATATTGAACTATGTGTTGTAAATCCAGGTTGGTTAAAGATCAACCTTTCTGTTAACCATTTCTATTACTTTGAGCTATGACAAACTAAGGAGCATATAAAGCTCTAACCCATAAAGAGTTAAATCCATAGAACAAATCATCAATTAAAAACGAGTCTAAGATTGCATTCCAGCCGAATTCCAGTTCGTATTAAATTATAGCAGATTGAGCATTATCATTTTTCCGTATGAATCAGTATGAATGAGAATTTTTTTGGCATAAAAAAATTGAAGACACGCCTTCGTTCTGTAAAATTCCTTTCGTCGCAACAGAATTGCTCCTGAATCTGACAGCAAGTTTCGTTAAAAGACTTTCATGATCAACAAGCTCAACTCAATTCTATTTTTGTCGTCTTATTTTTAAAAGTTGACATTATTAATTCGCAATATCCTGAAAAAGTATTTATAAAAAGATTAGAAGAGCCAATACGAAGTTGTGAATGAATTAGAGCATTTTGCTATCAAATTAATGTTTTTGTTTACTTGGCGCTCACAACAAGCGCCACATAAAGCATGAGATTTATTTGTGACCACAATCAGTCGAACGAAAAGTCTTGGGAAGGTTCAAATTAGCCACTTATAAATCCGTTTCAGGTCAATGCAACCAGTATGCGACAATTATGTAATTTTCCACACATATTAAATTATTTTCAGTTCTTATCAGCCTTAAGTCTATTGTTAGTCAATGCTAGCACATAAGAAATTTGAGGGAGTAAGCAATAATGTAAACATGTGAACCGAATCTGATGAAAGAAAAAAAAAATGAAAATTGAAATTCAGTTGAAAAATCGTTCCTGATAAGTGATTATTTACCATTTAAAAAAATATAAAAAATTAATCTAGACGCCAGCCAGTCACAGTATCATCAGTTTTTTTATTGCCCATTTACTTTTTTTTTTCTTCGCTCGTAAAAATTGTTTTGAAAATAAAATAATGAAATCAAAATTTAATTCAATTAGGCGTCTGACAATATGTAGAAGATTTGGACGAAATAAAAAAGTCACTTTTATCAGTAGAAAAAAAAAATTCCCACAATGTGAGAATACGTACGATTTAATACTGAATGATTATCTTGATGAATGACTAAGCATAATGATAACTGAATCGTTGCATAGGAATTACCAAGAAATTTGAGATTTTGAGGGAAAGTTTTTTTTTGCGGTTAGATTTAAATGGAATAATTTGTTCTATTAGATACATTGTGCGGTTTTATTATGTTTAACCGAGGAAATTTTAAATTTAAATATTTAAAAATACCGTTAAATTATAAAGTAATTTCTTTGTGAACTTTTTAAAGTTTATTTTAAACGCTGTAACTCACAATTCCTGTCCTTGATATGAGGAATAAAGTTTCCAAATAATTACAATGTAATACAGCCATGATGCTGCTCTGGCTTAATTAGAATGAATAAAGCAATAATAATAATAATAATAATAATAATAATAATAAAATGGTCAACTGATAACTTCAAATAGTGATGAAGTCTAAAGATCTGATTGAGATTTGCGGTACTTTTTGAAACGCCCGGTAATTGTTTTAAAAAAAAATCTTAATTTTCCGAAAGAAACTAAGATTTTCAAAAGAAAAATGAAACAGGGAATTTTTATAATTTGAAAACCTAGCCAAATTGATAATATTTTAAACCTCTGATAATAAGAAATAAGCTTTTTCTGAAATTCCCAGAAAAAATATATAAAAAGCAAAACTTTGAAATTTAAAATTTAATAGTCATAAAGCTTATATTAGTATTTCATATCATAACCTTAATTATTCTCAAAATCAGGACTTCTAAAACAGCGATTTAAAAGATTTAGTAGCAAAAACTATTTAATTCAAGGCATCGGGATAAAATGTGTGTTAATGAATTGATTTGAATTTAATTTTTATTTTCAAAAAAGTTTAAACGCGTCTGAATATCAAAATTCAAAGAAATGTTTTAAACTAGAGACAGTACAATAAATTCTATCGTTGATCAGGATCGTAATTCATCCAGTTTATCGCATCTTAAATTGGAAAACTAAGCAAAATTTCGTAAAATATTGAATTTTGAAAATTTATTTTTCTTAAAGTTATTATCAGTCTCTTTAATCATGTTGATTAAGAATAATCGAGTTTATATCAAATCTACAACTTCATTTAATTCTTAATCTAACCTCTTTCTAAATTTTACATAACAATTTATTTTCACTTTTAATATTTCAACATTCATTATTTTTTTAAAGATTCGCATTCAATTCCATTCGAAATAAACATGCTGACAATAGCTTTGTAAATCCTTATTAAATAAAAATTCCGGTAATATTAATAGAAAGTCAAAGGTTCAATAAAGATGAATAATTATCACGTGTTTAAAAATTGATTAAGTTTCAGCATTTATATTATTTGAACATTGTTGGTGCATGTGACAGTGTTAAAGGTGAACATTTTCCTATTTCCTCAATAATATGTGCTGATCAATAGAGTTCCCAAAAACAAAATCTACATACTCATGCCTAACTCATTCATAAAAACAATTGATTCAATAAAAATGCATCGCAGAAATATCAATGTTTATAAACTTAAAGTCAAAACAGCACAAAATTTCTACAGTCACACTTTTAGTTTCATTATAGCTTACATCTTCTATTCTAAAATTCAGGACAGTCATAAAGACACGCTTTAAACTTTACATGACATTAAATTACTGAATGTCATTTGTAAGAAAAATTTGCGTCATTCACGAGTTTAGTAGATGCACAATTTAATGACTTATTTACAATCAATCATTATCAATTTTTTTTGTGCTGTGAGAGAGAGTCTCTAATAGAAGATGCGCTTCTTAATTCTCATAATAATCAAATATTTATTTATAAGGGAGATTACACACTTTGTGTAGGAAAGAGATGGATTAAGCATTAAATTGATCATAATTATTTTATTTTCTTTTGTCATTTCATTAATATTGACTGATATATCGGTACATTGTAAAATAGATGACCCTAAATGTATGCATCATAAAATGAAGGAAGAAGTGATAGAATTCTCAATTTATGATTAATTATTAGCGCATTTCTCATCGAATATATTTAATTTTAAGGAAAAATTTGATTAAATTCAGGGAAATTAAAGATTTACAACTATTACTACTGCAGTATTATTAGCAATTTGAATAAATCTTTAAATTCTGAATTCTTCTAAAACTCGACATTTAAATTTCAACTTAAAGAGTTGAAGAGTTCAACTTAAATGAGATTTAGTGACTTTGGAAAGAGTTTGAAACAAGATCTAAAATCAAAAATTATAAATTTCTAAAATCTTAATCATTTTTAACTTAAAACTTAAAGTTGAATCTTCCTGAATCTAAGGAAAATATTAGTTCTAAAAGATTTCATTTAAAAGTTTATTCAATAATTAAATCTTGCAGTGGACAAAACAGACAAATCGAAATCCCAACAACAAATAAGAATAAAGCTTCACAATAAGAAACAGATAACATTTGCGACATTTATGTATGGCTATAGATAGACGATGAGAATCATCAATTTATTGATTTGATCAAGAGAAATTCCTCAAAAGCGTGCCTTTCTTTACATTTTATATTAATAGAGTTATTTAATTATCACTTAAAGTTGACAAATACTGACTATTGACTATCACAATCGCTTTTATATACTTAATAATTTATTTACTTTTTTTTGTTGTTAGGTTTAAACAGGCGCCACTTTTATGAGACAAAATTCTAATTGAAATAAATAAACATGACTTGATTAATTATATTTATTCCATTCTTTAGTTGACTCCATACTTTAATAAAACAGAAGCAACTATATTAAAGTATAACTCATCCATAAAGCATTAATTAACGCATAAACATAAAATTTTATGCGGAATTCCGCAATTCTCATTCAAAATATTAATAATAATTTTATTTAAGCCATATTTGAGGATATAATATCAATAAACAATGAAAATTCCTTCATAAAGATGAAATAAAAATTCTTCTCGTATGATTTATCAATGAACTGAATCTCTCTCGTCTCTTACATTATTTATATTACTTTCAGTCTCTTCATATCAAGTGATGCGTAAAAGAAGAAAAATCCTCTAAGATTGTGAAAGAAATGACGTAAAATTACATTCTCGGAAGATAATGTCAGTTAAATGACATTCTTCCATGCATTTAATGTTTTTTAATAAAATTATGAGCATTTTGCTTTTGAATGTCTCGCTTTTGTCTCATGTGACGCCAAAGATTCTTAAAGTGACATACTGATATTATTGTGTGTTATTGTCACATTCATCAAGTTCTGGACTTCCTATATTTCTCTTAGTTTTCTTTTTTGCATGTCGCTTGCGCTTCCAATTGAGATTAATTAATTTATGAATGCAGCAACATTGAAATTTATCGAATTATTATCAATACGGGAGCTAAGACGATAGAATTCAATGACCCAAGCTGTATCTATTTCCAAATAAGTTTTTAATTGATTTAAGGACTCTTTGTGACTTAATCAAGCGACGGCTTTTTAAATGTTTCTTTATCATAACTGGATGTTGGTGAAATTTACAATTTATGTTGCTATTCACGAATGTATCTATTCTAATTCCTTCCGCAAGTTATGATTTTGCAAATAAATGTAATCATATGAATTATTAATAAGACACCTCAAATGTACTAAAGATTCAAAATCTGGCGAAATTCTTAATACGAAAACTGACTTGATGATTTTATTGTATATTAAAAATAAACCAAAACTGATAAAGAATTCCCCAGAAAAGTAGATTGATTGACATATGGCATTGACAATATTTTAACTCAAGCAGTTCCAGTCACGTTTATTAAATATACGCAACTTTGCCAGTGAGAGAGATTTGATTTGATAATCAAAATATTTTGACAATCCTTGACTGTAAGCAATGTCAAATTAATTGAATTAAATCGTTCTGAACTCACGATACACATGCTGACGTCTAATAAGATTGTTTTCGGGACTTCCCTCGACAACAATTCTGACAAATGTCACGCACAGTACTCGTAATTTCTTTTATTGCAGCACAATAAAGTAATTGATTATAAACGTGTGAAAATGATTGAACTAAATAGAAATATTTTTTCTGAACTTGCTGATATTCTTGATACATTTTACGCTTCTAAGGCTGGCTATTTAACACTATAATTAATGAAATTTAAAGTTTCTTTGATTTTCACTTAAAAAAGACGTTAAAAATTGATGCAAAAATTTTGAATGACACTATTTTCTCCGTTGCTAATTTAATGGTCAAAGAGATGCCGCAAAATTAATGATAGATTGCCAATAATATTATTGAACTTTTGACACAAAGAAAATTGAATTGGCACCAATAAAACAAGTTCATCGCTTTACAGAACTGCACTTAATTCGCACTAAATGATTTTTTATAGAACTTAAAAAAATGATCTTACCTTAAATTGTTGAAGTTCAATCGTAAATTCTTAATATTCATGTTCATCTCAGCAAATTGTCGCGTGTCAAAATCAAGCATTTGAGAATGTGTAATTCTCAGCCAAATTTGAAAATCAGGTGTAAATTTATTTTGCAAAACATTTACGACATGATTAAAAGATTCCATTTTCTCGCACGTTACACTAATCGTGTTAGCATACATGTTGTGGGGTGCACAGGTGCATGGTGATATTTCTGGTCGCACAGCACAATGTAAACTCGCACCGGCGGTGAATGAAAATATCGTATAGAGTAAAGTAGCCATAATCAGGCTATAAAATGATTCCAATTCACACTTCAGATTCAATTTTATTGTTTTTTTTTTCTTGCGTAGCCAGTAGCTTGACCTTAATTCTACTACTACCCGACTTGATTTATTATGTGAATATTTTTATGACTTTTTAATCAATTTCCAATTTTCAGTTCACAGTTTTTTTTACAACCTTTCTTATCGCGTGCTCAACACGATTTGAATGCGGAGATATTGTGAATGAATCAATGCTTGACTTGCTTAATAAAATTTTTCCTTCCACTTTTTAAATTATTTTTCACAAAAGTTCTTCTTATCACATCTCTTTTAATTTTTCTTTTATGAATGGATTTGTCTATAAAATCAGAATATTTGCTTTCTTTAATTATGTTTTTTTAATAAAATCTTTTTATCTCAAAAAATGTCATTTAACACTGTTTTCATAGATGTAGGATATGATCCACTAAGATCACAACTTCCTTCCTTCTTTTTTAACTTTTGCTCTTTAAAAGAAATTTTAAATAAAATTTTCACGCTTCTCCAAATGCGTCTTCTCAAGACCGAGTTCACTTCGAGAATGACTGACTGAATGTTATCTCACGAAACTCTAGTAAGGGAAAAAATATATATACACAAGTAGAGGAAAGAAAACAGACGAAGAGAATATTTTTTTTACATTTATTAAGAAAGAAAAAAAAAAGTTTTGTTGTTTTGAGATGTGAGTGAGAAACTCTCACAGCAAGAAGAACGACGAAGAACAAGGAGGAAAAAATTTGTGAAGAAAGAAAAGTGTTTCTGTTTTGTCGATGGGGGCATTTCTGATTACATTGTAGGAGATTGATGTACTTTTTAGTGAAAATAACGATATTTGTCTCATTATTCATTGGTGAGAGCAGATTTAATTGAGATTATTGTTTACTTTTGTTTCATGTCGCGCTTGATTTATAAAATGGCTGACTTCTTGCTACCATTAAAGTGCAATTTGATTTAATTTTACTTCAAAATTTGTAACGGAAATTTAGCTTATGAATTTTTCTTAGCTGAATAAATTTGCTGAATACGCTGAAACGCTAAAATTCAAACATTTAACCGTTAACCCTTAAGTTTCCGAAAATCAAAATTATTGTCTCCAACAAGCCTTAACTCAAAACCAGTGTAATTAAAGCCCGTTGAACATAAATTGCAGCCAAATTTTAATCAATAAATCCGAAAATTTTGAACCATATTAATCTCACACATGTATCCTGCAATGTGATTAATGCTCGAACAAAATTTCCCAAACAGATGAGAGACTAAAGAAAAAACAAATAAAAAAATAAAATCAAAATTTATTGAAAATTAAAAGCTTTTAAAGCATTTTTAGTAATAAAAAGGTGGCGCCTGAAAATTAATTAAAATAAAAAAGAAATTATACCATTTGGTCTTCGAATCTTTTGTACAGTTGTTGTGTTTTTGTCTCTCATGAGTTTCTTCATAATTCCGAAATACACAAAAAAAAAGTCTCGTTGATATTTTTTTTTTGAGCGAGTTCATGATTCATGAAATCTAGTTTTGGTCAGTAAATTTTGGAATTGAAAAGATTAAACAAACAGTTGAGAGTTCCAATCTGGAAATGAGTTCATTATCAGGATATTTGCGAAGTTAAATTGCAAGTATGACGTAGAATATTGAGTATATAGACAAAAATGGGAGTTGAAATTTGAGGGTTTACTCATATAAAGCTAGTTCTGCTAATGCGAGAGCTAGGATTCTGTGGTTGAGTGGCTAAGCATCAAATCAGCTAGTTTTGACACTCTTCTTTGTAAGGATGTGAGTTTGATTCTCATTATTCACTCGTTTTACAATTTACACTTTTGGTATCCTCTCTATCCTTAGTATACCCACCTTGAGTTATCTAACTTAGTATATATGGATCTGGGGAGTGATTTCTAGGACTAATCAAGCCTGAGCATCCTACTCTCGAACTACTGGCTTGGATAGCCCTAAAAACTAGACTTAGTTGGAATCTTTACCTCAGACCCGTCTGTTTCGTATCCCAACGATCTCTAGGGATAGTTCATGTTTACAAGCATACCTGTGCCACCCACAATTGTAGTCAACCCTTAAAAAATATATCCTAAGTTGAGTTGTATGACAAAAACCCAAAAAAACAGACATTTTGTATCAATTCTGGCAATATGATCAAGATTGTACCCAACATACACGACATTATAGCATCAAACGTAAAGCTTCAAATAAGGATATGAAAGTCATCATCACTAGATTTCAATGAAAACAAGAATAATTTTGCGAAAAACAATTTCAAGGAACCACCATTTACAGAGCGAGGAAAATTTTGTCGCTACAAATGTCTCTATTAAATCGGACATTAATGAATTTATAATTACGACTTGTTTTTCCATGGCTTCAATATTAATATAAATATAGGCCTGACATGGTGTGAAGAAAATTATTTATAGAAAGGCATCCCCATTATCACGTTTATTTTTAGAGCGCGATTCGAATTCTTCTTGTCTCTTACACTTTTTTTTTGATGTATTTATAACGCAAAATTCCACACAAGACAGAGTGGCGTTACAGAAATAGTAAACTATTAATATTTTTTGATAGGTTTTTAATATTAAATCATTGAGTTAAGAATAGCTCAAGAAGAAATGAGATTTACGAGCTTGAATTTTTATTATTCGTAGGGCAACGACAGAGCTACGCATATCACCTGATCAGTAGAAATAAAATTGATCTGGACATATCCTTATAAGTTCTGCTATCCGAAAATATGAAATCTTTAGATGAACGTGGCGTGATTGGAAGATTTTTATCAACAGGCATGGATTTTTGAGGGAATCTAAATGTTCCTTATTGATTATCAGTGTCCAAATTATGATTTTATCAATTGATCTCTTTTGGGTTTTGTTCATAAATGACGTCCAGTAAGAAATTGGAAGTATTAGACCATTCTGGATTTAGGGTTGTCTATAAACATATGGTAACCATTTAGATATTAAGAGTTAATTGAGAATGATTTCATACCCAAATGATCATACATTTAGTAACAGGACAATATCTTGTGGGTCATTAGATGCTTTGGTAACTCCTTGATATCAATACAGTTTAAAAATAACTCTCTTGTGAATTAAAATTTTCCCATTAAATTGAGGGAAGGGATCTGAAAATCTCAATTTTGAGAGACGTCACTTAAAAAAGACCCCCAAATATCCTTAAAATCCTTTAATAAGGTTCAATTCAAACTCATTCAGTAACGCCCTCAATTTCAATATACTTATTCTTGTTGTCGTTGTCCCTCTCTCGTTTTCATGATAATTTATAGGTTAGGCAGTAAAAATTTCATCTTATTTAATAATATTGTCAACGAGATGGTGATAAAGTGATTTTTTATATTCTCGGCATTCTCAGCTGAGTGCACAAATGAAATGGTGGGGAAAAAAAGGTTTTTTTTCTTATTTATTTATATTTTTTGAAAAATTCGTATGAAAATCCTCAGAATTTTTAAAATATTTTGCTATTTTTATTGCGTAGGTGAGACACTTAAGATTGAGTTTTTGAGGTATTGAGGAAAGAAAAATTACGTTATTAAGTTATAATTGGATTATGATGTCTTAGTTATTTTTTAATTCGCTCATAATATTTTTATTTCGTGTGTCCGACAACTGCTGAATGAAATTAATACTTTCTATTTTCTTCTTCTTCTTCTCTTCCTCTAATGACATGTCAGGCATTTCCTGAATCCTACCACATGTTAATTCTACGACTTCCTTTGTTTTTCCATTAGATTATACTCAGCATTATTATTATTTTAGGATATCAGGAAACGAATTTTGGTTTTTAACTGCTGTTCTGTCACTTTTCAGTTAATCTCTCTGGAATCAGGTAAATAACAGATGGAATGTTTAAAATAGATGCAAATTTGATTTCTTTGATGCCTTCTTTTGGAGAAAACTAAATGAAATGTCAATGTAAGAACCACAATTGGAATGTTTAAGGAAAAAGTGTTGAATTGAATTATATTAAATTGCTTAATAAGTTTGGTAAAAGATCGACAGTATTGAAATAAAGAATTTTCTAGGCTCATTTATAGGTCCTTTATCAGCTTATAAATCCCAGTGTTTATTTCTAAAAAACAATCTAGCTTCAAACACAAAATTCAGTTCAACACGATTTGAAAGAATTTTAAAATTTCCCTGATAAATAATCGGATTTATTCTCAACAAGGAAATTGATGATAGCAGCAAGAAAAATTACTTGCAAGACTCAATGTCTGCCAATATAGAAAAGACAAGGCAATTGAGAATCAATTGAAAAATATCATATGATTTTGAAGTATTTTGCATTTATAAAATATGAACGTTGATTCCATAAAGTCTGTAGAGGATTCCAAAAAGTCACATTGAAGGAAAATGTTTTTGCACATGCCAATAAATCAATTATCAAGAGATCTTCAAGAATATTTCTTTTTTAAATTGATGTATTTTCTCAGGAATTTTTATGGATATGAGGAGATACATACATTCTTTTTTTTTCATCTGAAAATAAACAAACAGCACAAAAAAAAGTTCAAGCAGCTGTAAAGAGGAAGAAAATAAACTAATGGAATGACAAAAACAACAAATTGATGATTGGGGTTGGACACAAATAAGGACTGACTTTTTAATAGTAGATCCATTAATTGTGTATTAGGTTTGTTCTTAACCATGGGCTATGTAAGTTTTCATTTAATGGATGATTGAAAATCACATAATTTATTTGAATCGAGAACAGATTTCACATGGCTGCATGAACCTCCTGTGGGTATCAAGAGTGAGTTTCATCAACTTCCAAATCTCAATCATGACTCAAAAGACACAAAAAATCAAGAAGCAATCCTTAAGAAATCAATTCGTAATCAACATAAACTCTTGTAATATTTTGGAGTTATTTTATAAGCTTACATGATCAGGGTTCTGGGAAGAAGCTTAGCTAAGAAGTCGAGATAGCCTGACACAAAAATGTCAAGTTGTTTTGTCGAGTTTCGAACTCAGATTCGCTTAGAAATGTTACAATTTTTAGATTTATCAGCGATGCAACTCTGAACATCTTTCAGCATTCAACCTAATTAAGAACTGAAGAATTTTGGAAAAAGGCAAGCTCTATTGTTTTTCGATAGACATCACTTATGAACGATCCCAAATTGAGGAGAGCAATATTGAAATTTTTACATTTTTTTGTTTGCAATTTTATCATTAATTTCTCTTCTTTTTTTTTATATCTTCGATTGCTCGAGGCAAGGAAGCAGCTCTAGTAATCTAATGCATTACTGTAAATGACAAAAAGCAGCTATGTTGTTGATCAATTGAGTTTATAAATCAGGAAATCAATTTTACATTTCCGCTCTTTTTCCACTTCACTGTTGCTTAATGCTTACTGGCTGTTTTACATTGTGGATATAATCGAATGCTGCTAATCAATCAATTGAGTGAAAAGTTCTCTCAAATTAATTAAATTTGCCACTCCATCCAAATGTGGGAATCTTAAGATCCAATGAGCAACTTACTCGAATTCATTCAACAAGTTCATGGTCATCAATTAGCAAGTGAATGAACTGATATTCTCGAAAATAAATTCATACATAAATTTTAAGTAAGCAAATATGAATGAAACAAAAAATATGAAAAATTTATGAATGATTTTTTTTGGGTTGCTAAAAAATCTTCATCTAAGTGGAATATTCGAGTGGAGTGCGAGACTGAAGGGAAAGAGGAACTAGTAGGGAAGACTACATAAAGGTGGATAGAAAGCGCAGGAAGGGAAATATGAACCATAAATTGAGATTTTTCAAAGTTATTCATCCTCCCCTCACCCCTTGAGCCCTTGGTACCAACATGTACACAAGAACATTGTGATAGCACCGGAACTTAAAAATTTAAATTAATTAAAATAAAATTTGGATTTGCAGTGAGGTGGAGTCGCCTTAAAATCAATTGAAGATGTCATTAATGCTGTTGTTAGCCATAATCCAAAAAGCATTAGGGGCCGTTCACTTATGACGTCCAGGAGGGGGGGGGGGTCAGCAAGAAAAGACCAATAGAAATTCCTGGAATTCCATTGTTCTTTTTTGAAAAATGACCGTTAATATCGGACGTCATAAGTGAACGATCCCAAACAGCATTACCTGATTTCAACTAAAACTATGCTTGCAATTTACTGCCTATATAGGCAGTGTTTCTCAAACTGTATGTCGCGAAAAAAAATGAAAGATCATGAAAACCATTTAGGGTGACGCGAAAAGTTAAGTATAAAAATGTACCGTGGACCAAAAAAGTTTGAGAATCACTGGCCTATGAGATTCTAAATAGTTCTTCTATAATGACGTCAATTTAAATGAGAGGAGGGGGGGGGGGGGAGGGGTATAAGAGAACAGAACAGCCAGCCAGTTTAATACTGTGGCAGAAAAGAAGCAGCTTAGTTAAGGGTAAGAGCTCTTTTGTCGAGTTGTGACAACAAGAAATTACATCCAGTAATAAAAATGACCCCAAATCTTTAAGGGGCTGGTTTTAAATTTTATTGTATGGACGAAATATTTTAGCGGGGGTTTTGGGATCTTTTTTTTTTCTTCTTAAGTTGAAGAAATTATTGCAAAAGGGAGTGGGAGTTGTATTCAATGATTATTCTCTTGAGGATCTATGTACACCAGGGGTGTAGCCAGGAATTTGAAGAGGGGGGGGGGGGGGACAAAAATTTTTTTTTTGTATGCAAAAAGGGGAGGAGGGATTTTTGTGATTTTTTCATAAAATTCTAGCAAAATAAAAAAAAATGTCCCCGAAACCCCACCCCCACCCCATCTAGCTACGCACCTGATGTTCACGAAAAGTTAAGATGGTGGGTTGGGTGGATATTCAATAGATTATTTTTCAAACTCCAAAAAATGTAGTTCTTCAAACACCTTTTCTAACTGCATCGTTGTGATGAGACAAGAATATTAAGTTGCAGCCAACCAAATAGACAAAGATGCAGCACCTAATGCTACAATTTTAAGAGGTTAGAAAAAAAAGCGATTAAAAAATAATTTTTTTACGCTCAGCAAAATCGGAATGAAAATATTATTCATTGACGTCGAAAGCATGCAGAAAATTTTAATTGATATACTAGAAGGAGGCAGTCATCAACAGACAGCGTTTAATTTTGCACGTTTTCATTAGATGGAAATTAATATTTATTTTATTACGGATCGCAATGATCCTGAGAAGCGGAGAAGATTCAGGAAAAATATTCGCACTTGTTTTCCTCCGAACGCTAAAGCAGCTATAGCTTGTAAATATGCGATGCAAAATAAAAGTAAAGAGGCGGAGGCATTTAATGTCAGGTGATATGATTTGTGGAGAAATGAATGGAAAACTGAATTCATAACATGAGCAAAATACCTTACGATTGTTGGCGCCACTACATTTATCACATCGCTTTTACAAAAGATTCCACTTTGCGTGCCTGCTGATATTAATAGCTTTGATCCTCTCAACACAGATCAAATTATAATAATCCATGTCTAATTGTCATTCTTAATGCGATTGCCGAATTCTTCCTCTTTCTCTCAATCAGGCAGTGCCTGTAAATCGAATAGACTTCAAGTTTTACTTGTTTATCGAGCTATCGTTGCTAGTAATCTTTCCCATTCCATTTAAATATAATTCAGACATGTCCTTTCAATATATTCAATTTAATTTAATTTATTATAAGTTCGCACGTTTCGACAGTCGTCGCACTGTTTGACTCAGGCGCCGTTTAGCATAGCAGAGCAGAACACAAAAAAGAATTGACACTAAGATCAAATTTCAGAGGAATGAAGGTATTGAAAAATATTTCCTTGAGTTTATTGCTTTGAAGACATTTGTTATCGACTCAGGGGTGTTGGATGAGGATGTCTAGAAGATCGCGAATAGCTGGAATGAATTTTAACGTATTTTTAAAAAATTTGAATCTACCAAAACCTTTCAAATGTTTTGATTTTGACCCAAAACCATGCAAATGTTTAATTAAATTTAAAAGAATTCCGTTAAAAATCACACGACTCCCAATAACCCTTAACAATGTTGCAAATCATGACTGAAAATGCGTTGAAGTCATTAATTATAAGCAACAGTGGTTTGTTAAACGGTTGTCAAACAATTTATTGGTACGAAGTAAATAATCATGATAATTAATGTTATTTATGCATAATGAAAAATTTGATTGGTAAAAGTTTATTGTGGTTGTATAGCATCGAGCATGTGTAGACCGACCGCAAAAAAAAAAGCTCGACAGGCATTTCTCGAGAAAGAAGGAAAAGAATATTGTATATTTTTGAAAATTGATATTTTGATACCATTTCGAATGTGTAAACGAATGAAATAAAATAAATTTGAGATCATAAAATTAAGATAAGCTAATGAAATAAAGTCAGTGGAGAGAAGAAAAAGAATTTGGAAACCAGTAGCTGGCCATTAACTATGATATCATCTTGTTTAATTATTTGATATTTTATTTTTCTTCCTTCTCCGTCGTCTTATTTCAGGCACCATCGTTTAGATAACGACACAAAGAATTAAAAAAACACATGATTGAAATTATCATTTGCATATTGATGGATAGAGCGTCTACAAGATAATTTTATTAAACGCTTTAGAATGATAAAAGAATTAAATCAAAATGCTTGAATTTATGACGACTTTTTTAATTTTTTGTTCTTACCAAGTTCTTACCGGTTTTTTAAATTTCAAATTTTAACCGTTTTCCGAGGTTCAAAATTCTAGCAATTTTTACAAAACAGAAATTTTAACGGTTTATAAGGATTCATATTTGAACGGTTTTTTGGAAATTCAAACTTCTAGCAGTTTTGGAAATTTCAACGGTTTTTCAATGCAACTGCTTAAAAATTCAGCAGAATTGACTCAATGTGAAGTGATCCTGAACACATTTCCATTAATTTAAAATTCAAAGCAAACAACAACGTCCAGTCAACGTCTGAAAACGATCAAAACAACTCATTTAATCTGTAAAAAAAGAAGATCCAGAAGTAAATTAGATTAGTGACATCATTGCTGTGGAATTTTTAAAAAGACATTCAGTTATTAATTTTTTATGTGAATTTCTTTTATTTCGCTTGTAACTCGCGAGTCATGCATAATTTTTGATACATTTTCAAATAATTGAGAAAGTTCATTTCGTCAAATCTACAATTCAGAATCAAAAAATTTGACATGTTTTATAATTAAAAAACCATAATTCATAATTATATAAATCTTTAATTCTTGTGTATGTGTAGTTGAATATGTCAGAGAACAAAATATCTCTGGATTATGTAGAAACCTTCTTTTAATTTATGAATGAGTACCAAAATATAAAAAAAGAAGAAAAAAATGAAAAGCTTGATTCCATTAATTTTTGATGGAAAATAATAATAATAATAATGATAGTAAGATAGAAAACATCGATGAGAGAATATATTTCATACCAATCAGCCTAAATTGTGTTCATTTAAAGTATTTTGATGAATTTGGATATTTTTCTGGCTCATAATCTGGATCATTCTTTAATCGTTGACTTAAATTACCCTTAACCTCATCTTTATAAGCATTTTGAATTGATGGATCGTTAGCAATTGACGATACAATTTCATCTATCGGAGCATTGTTGCTCGAGGAACTGCCACCACTTGATGAAGACGGTCCTGACTTGTTGGTTGTATGCAAAGCGGTGCGTACATCATCTGCTATTAAATGCTGGACATTTGTTGACGGTTTCTTGCTAAGAAGAACTTTACGACGCTTTGAAGCCATTCCTGTTATATAAGCGTCTGAATATGCTGGTTGTGGGCTCTATATTGATTCAAACGTTGAAAAATTGACGAAAATATGACAATTATAAATTACAAACCTGACGTCGTTGACGAGAAATGTCTCTCGTTATAATTGGCAACCAATTTGATGGAAATTGTGCATGCCATGGCTCTGATCGTTCAATTATTGGCAATGGTTCGCTTAACAAGTCTTCTTGTTGAATTGCATTGCTCGAATCTTCTTCATCTTCCTCTTCGATAATATTCATAGCAGCATCTACCATAATTTCATCGTCTACTTCCATAGGAGTCTCATTCTGTTTAGAAATTGGATAGTTTTAAAAATTAGATTTAAATTACATTTTAAATCAATAGGATTAATTTAAATCTAAAGGATTAAAACTATATCAAGACTTACGATTTGCGGTGCCGGTCTTTTGATGATTAGAAATTCTTGTATTTCTGACAAATCATAACTGCGTCGTTCAATTAAGAAGGTCTTAATGACATAAGCTGGGAATTTGCTTAAATTTCCACGAGATATTTCGCCAGTCAAAACTAAATTTGCAATATCATTTAAATATTTTTCTGTATCCCTAATTCCAATACATTTGACCAGAATCATATAGACATTTTCCAAAAATGTCACCAATAAACGTTCTATTCTAGTCCCAAATTCAGTTGAATCATCTTCAACTATCAAATTTATTAAAAATGGCAATGATTTTCCTATCAAATTCTCAATTGATTTGCGGACATCATAATCAGGATGTTGATAAGTCGATAATCGTTCCAAATATTTCCCTAGTTCCATTAAAATGTCACGAGTTGCATTTGATATAGTATCGTCATTAATTTCATCATTACTGAAGTAATTTTGCATTAAAAATGCTCTCAAGCCATCACGTTGTGTATCATAAAAATTGGATGTTATGCTATCTAAGTCACGAAGGCTTAATTGAATGCCAAATACATTAATTTGATGATTAAGCTCATCATCTGTAATATTATTAACACCAGAGAAATGTCGGTAACGATTATTTCCAATTGTCGATGAAGCAGATTGTTGATCCATATTTAATGGTGTTGGAATATGAATTGTTGCATTGGCTGGCGCTTGTCTCATTGAGTTTCTATCTAACGAGACTGTACGACGTTGCGGACGAACATGAATTGTTTGAGTCTGTTGATTCTGCTGTGGTTGTGTCTGATTTTGATCATCTCGAATGTGATGACTGTTGCATGGTAAAAATCTGCATAACAGGATAATAAATTGTTATCATATTCAGGCATGGAAACATTAAAAATTTAATTTTTTAATCTTTAAGAATATTTTGGGTTTTAAACTATTTTTTTTGAAATTTGAATTTTAACGGGTTTTAAATATTCAAATGGAATTCTGAACTGAACAGACATGAACTTACCTATCAAAAGATGACAAGAAGTTGTTTGCTGGTATCGGTCTGAAATTGCGAATCGATGTCGGTGGAAGCGTTGTTGACGTCAAAATTGGTCTACTTGTTGAGCGCGTTTGAGTGCTTGTCGTTGGCTGAGTATTGGTTGTAACTCGAGCCTGTGTAGTCTCTGGCAAAGACGTGACATTTTCCGTTGGCGTTGATGTGCTTGTTGCTCCATTTGCACCGTTTGCATTAGTCGACGAATTTTGATTGCTATTTGGATTTTGCAATGAATTTAGCACTGGAATTGAAATATTGGCATTTATAATGTGCACTTCTGCATTCGGTTGACCAGCCGATGAAATTATTGATTGTATGAAATTACGATAGCGCTCATTATTATTTGCATTGCGATTCTGGCCTGCTAGAAAATGAATAAATAATTGTTTTTGGTGGGGAGGAAGAGAAGGAAAAGAGAAAATAGAAAGAAGGAATTTGTATGAATAAATTTTACCCAGCTGTTTCGACTTTTGTTTTTGTTGTTGTTTTCTGAACTTTTTTTTTCTCTTGTGTTACACTAAAAAGTGCTGATTATGAAGGAGGACAAACAAAAAAGCGTGATTGTTTTATATTACACATGTCCACATGCGTAGTGGATGCAATTCTTTTGGTTAGTGATATTAATTTTGTATGTCTTTTTTTAAACTCAAAACAAATTAATAATTTTATAAAGCAGGTTCAAAACTTGGTGAAAAAGAGTCAGGAGTGTATCCATAACTTTTCATCTATTAGAACCTTCCTGAATTAGCTTAACACGAATGGGGGGTGGAGAGTTAAATTTTGTACTTTTTGAACGATTTTGAAATTTCAAATATTTTTTTATAGCCGTTATCTTTTAAAAACTCTCAACCGTTGAATTTTTAGTCAAAAAATATGGATACACTCCAATTAAAAGTTATGTACATAATTTTGACATGAACCAAAAAATTTGAATAAAATAATATAGATTAGAAGATAATAAATTTAATAAACTAAGACATACTGATATCTTCCGATGTTGGAGAGTCACCAGCATCATCAAAGTCTAGATTGGTATGTATTATTTTGTGGAAATATAATAGAATATATTCGAATTGAGGACAACATCAAGGTAGTAGGTAATTAAAAAGTAGATTTTTTTTTTGTATGAAAATAGAGAAAAAATAAAGTAGAAGAGAATTTTTCTTTAGAAAATTCATTTTAAAAATGACAAATCGTGTATGGACGTTTTCATCCCATGAAATTTTGGCAAAACACGCTTTAAAGTACAAAAATTTTACACATCGTGCTGCGAAAATTTTCACTTTTCTAGTTTCAGACTTTTTTTTTTGTTCATTTTTTCATTTTTTTATAATTATCATTGAAGTGAGGCTAACCTGAAGAACGTCGAAAGATTACACGACGTGATCGATTCATCGAAATTGGAACAAACAGCTGGGAGATTCGTGTTCTTGGTAACTGACCTTGTTGATTATTTGCTCCGCTTGATGCAGTTGTTTGATTGTTTGTTGTATTCGTGCCTAAAGACGATGTTGAATTCAATGGATTTGCACCTTGCGTCGGTGGTGTGGCTGCTGCTGGTTGTTGTGCCTGTGCCTGCTGTGCTGGATTCGGTTGAGGAATACCAAATGCAGAAAACAATGATGGTGGAATCATATTTTCTAAGGGAATAATTTATTGATTATTAACTCATTTATGTCTTGTTAGCGCAGTTTTTAATTCAGGAAATGTCTGTAAGTCTTGATTGTAATTTTTTGATTCTTTATTGTCGTTATTTTTAAAATATTATTCATTTTGGAAAAGTTTTCGGATTTAATTTTCTACTTGAATTGTGTTCGTAGAAATTAGTTTCTAGTTCTGTCAATATATTACAAATGCGCATTTTAGTTCCACTTACCGTTAATCGTATTGTTGTTGTTGATGGTACTGGGGTTGTTATTATTATTACTAATATTTTGCCCTTGATTAGCAGCATTAGGCTGATTATTATTTGATAAATTGATGTTTCCACGTGCAAACAATGGGCCTATATTGATGCTCTAGAAAAAGAAATATTTATAAATGAGTCATTAAGTTATTAATTTAAAGAATATTGAGGCTACGTACACCAACGGGAGGTAAAGCGGATATTCCTGAGCTTACAAATGCAGATTGTTCTACTAATATCGGTCGGCAGCACAAGTGACGTGGCGTTTGAAGATTTAAATCTAACATTAAATCGGAAATAGCATGTTGAGCGTGTGACATATAATGCAAAGCTTCTGAGACTCTATCGAATATGCGTTGAGCATTATCGCGAGCTGTATCGTCGGGAAAAGCTGGATCATTTTGTAAAATATCATAATATTGTTGAATAAATGGATCTAATCGACTTTGAACGGTTCTCATTTGTCCAACGACTTCACCTAAAGTTTGAGTGCTTGTTGTTTGTTGTCTTCTTGCTCCAGTCATACCACTTTGAACTGTCGTTCCTGTAGATGTAGGTAATGTATTAAAAACAGACGGTTGAGGAGGAGGTGTAGGTGGTTGCTGCTGTTGTGGTATTGGTGGAATTGGCGGTGAAACAGAAATTATTTCTGGCTGATTTTGATTAGTTTCTTGATCGCCAGTCGATTGTGGTGATTCAGAGTTTGCAGAATCAGTTCCAACAATATTTGGAGGAAATTCAATAGTAATTGATGATGATGTAGTCGTTCCCGATGGACCTGACGTAATTGGATCATTATGTTGAACAGTAATATTATTAATTCCATTCTGACGAAATGCAGCTGAAACAGCTCCTTGAAATGCTTGTACAATATTTTGGACATCTTGTTGTGGAAGATCAACGTCAGTTACAGCAGAAATGCCTACTTCTAAGACTGTAGATTCCATTGTTTGTTGTGACAATAAGTCCATGTTTTGATTGTTTAACCCATTTTCTGGATTTTCTAAATATGCAGCTATATTATCAGCGCATTGAAGCATATGTCGTGCAACTGTAATGCGATTACCACAAAGTGTTGATGATGGATTTAATGATGTTGTTGTATGAGCAGGTCCAACGATATTTGTAGGTCCAGGAACTGGAATTGAGAAACTTCCCATCATCAAATTCTCAAAATCTGGCAATGAATCACGTAATCTTGAACGTCGCGTATCTCCTTCGCTATTTGTTGTTGCAGTCGATGAATTGGACGAAGGAGGTGGTCTTTGAACCAAATGAAGACATTTTCCATTTACATCTAAAATTAAGTCCAATTGATAAAAATACTTAGTTGCGATTAACCGAGTATGCAGCAGCACTTACCATATTCTTTTAGTGGTTTTTCATCATTCAAGACACGACCACAATAAATAAGTCTCTGAAGGTCAGCAGTAATTTCTACTTTTTCAGAAATATGCTCCTTAAATTCTTTCACTGTCATCTGAAATGTTTTAAAATATATAGTCATTAGAAAAGGAACAAACTGGTTTGGGATGTCGGAAAATTTCCTTAATTAGGCGTATCACTTGTATATGGAAATTTTCGCAAAATTTTATCCTATTTTCTTTTTTAATAATTTAATTAATTTTTATCAGTTCCTTACCTCTTCATCGACCGTAAAGTCATGATTACGCGAATCTAGCGTTTTTACTTTAACATTTATTATGACCATTTTTATTTTCTAGAAATGTGACGAAGAAGAAAACTTTATTAAAATCCTTGAAAAATCATCAATTTATAACATTTTCACGTGGTTATATAGCTTATTAAGCAAGCCTAATAGGCCTGGATCACTGTGATAAGTATTAGGTACTGTTTATCGACTTACTTAGCATAAATCAAGTCCAATTAATAGAAATTTAGAAACAATTTACATCACACTGAAATTTTCGCTTTATATCTTGTAATTTACACTTGAAAGTATTCACTCACGATATTTAACTATCTTAACTATCCAAATTGATTAATTAAACTGTTTAAAACCCTTTAAATCCCTATATTTTGATAATTTTCATAAACTCCAAAGAACGATTTAGTAAACGCACTCTTAAAAGTAGCAGACCGACAAATAAGACAAAAATCATTGCTTCTGAAACTTTCAAACTTTTTATAACCGTTATTTTTTTCACATTTATTTGGTTTAAAAAAAAACAGATATAAAACAGCCGAGTGCGATTGATTCTTTGAAAGATTTCCCTTAACATTTAAAAGTTATTCAAAAAGCTGAAAATAAAGTAAAATAAAAACTTTTTAAATTTTCTTTAAAATTCTCTTAATTTAATTAAGTAATTTCATGTATGTTCCTACATAAAATCTACTTTTTCACATTTTTCTTTTAACAATAATGAACATTAAAACTTTATTTTTTATAACATAGAAAAATCTCATAATTCATTCGTTCAGGTAGAAACAGCTATAATAATAATAATAATAAGTAACATAGTTCAAGTTAAAAGAACATACAAAACTAAGGACAATCAAGTTTATTTTACTTTTTGATAGACTTCTGAACACTTGAAATGATTTCATTACGCTTATAAATTGGCATTGATCTCCTTTCTCCTCCACTACTGGCTGTTGACTCTTCAGCACTCGTGGATGTCTTCTTCTTTGGAGTTGCTGTAGTTTTCAATGAAATGCTTATATTTGTAACATTAGGGTTGGCACTAGGTGATTGAATTTTAGCTTGTAGACTCTGTACATTGTGAGAAGTTTGAAGAGCAGGAAAGTTCATAGCAGCAGATATTCGTGACTTTTTACTTGAATCACTCATTCGCTCAAAATCAGCTGTTTTACTTCTTAGCACGTTAGAACCTATAGAAGAAATACTTGGTGTATAATTTGATTCTTTCACAGCCTTTATTGACACTGACGTGGTTGGTGCAATTGGTGGAGGTGCCGCCGTAAATGAGGGAGTAATAATTTGACCCGTAGACGATGACATTTGGATAGTTCGTGTAGTGCCAATGGTTTTCTTACCCTCAACTTGTGTTTTCTTTGAAGATGACATTTTGGATGTGGATGATGAAAGTGCAGTGGACGGCATGGAAGTTAGTGAAGTATCTTTCATTAATTTTGTGGCTACATGTTGTTGTTGTCTAGTGTCGTCTCTCTGTGAATTTAATGTTTGAACCTCATCCAAACGCTTTGATGTGATTGTCACAGATTGACGTTGTGGAAATTGGAAAGTTTGTGATATACTCCTACGTATTGCTGTTAATTTATTGATTTATTAGTACGTGCTTGTGCTATTTGGGAATATTTAATACTTACCATCATCTGAATATTCGTTGCCATTATCCTCAATATAAGGAATTTCGGAATAATTATCTCCAATATGTGAGGATTTTTCTAAATAGAACTGAATATTTTGTCCATGAATACCACTGATACTCTGACCTGATGATGACTGCATTTGAACCGGAATTTTAAGACTAGCCGTTACAACACCAGAACCATGTGATGTAATTGGTGATGACATTCGTCGTGTCACTGACTCAAACACATCAGATGCATTAGAATCTATTGACGAGCTTCGTGTCTTGGTCGGATCTGTTGAAAATGTATGAATATAATAATCTCTTTCGGCCATTGAAATTCCTGATCCAATACCAGATGAGTATTGATGACTTTCATGTGTTGAAGACGATGACGATAAGTCACCAGACTCTGTTCGATCGCTTTGCCTTCTCCTTCTTAAAGGCTTCTCTGGATCTTGATATTTCATTCGCGATCTCATTTCACGTTCCTTTAATCTAAATTAAATGAAGCGGAGGATATTAAATGACAGAAAATCAAGGGGAGGAGCTTTGTGAGAGGAAAATACGTGCACTAATGTAAGTGATAATCTATAACTAATATCAAACTCTAATCTACCTTCTGGATGACGAGGTACTTCCACCTTTGGCAGCATTTTCATGAAGGATATCCTCTCTTGAATAGACGACCCTTTTTGGTAGCTCTATCGTGGAAATTGTTGTTGTTGCTGTCGATGATGTTGGCGAGAACACTTTATCATCGTCTGAGAACACAGTATGCTGTTGGAGGTATGGCGGACTTAAAGGTGGAATTGAACTTCCACTGTCGATGTCTTCCCTATTAATTATTATGCATTAAAAGATTGTGAAAAATTAATAATTGTGATGACTTACTCTTGCCTGATGTATAGACGATCAAGTAAGTAATCAAGTTGTTGAGGATAGATATCCATCATTGTTGTGTAGATTTCATTCATATCGTCTGATGATAAAATGAACAAGTCTTCATAATGATCAATCATAATTCTCACAATATTGATAACGTCAGCTCTTTCTGCCAGTTCTTGCTCCTCAAATTGTTCAGACTTTATGCAGTGTAAAATATTTGGTGCAACGACTGTCGCAAGATTTGTGCTATCCATTTTATTTCCATTCGACAGCACTTGTCCATCAAATGTTTTCGTATCATTGGCAGCTCGAGCTACTTTGGCTAGAAACTTTAATAATACATATAAAGTATCTCGATTCGCTACTGGAAGTAAATGAATCATGTGTGATATCGCTTCCAACTGTAATCTCCGGTTTCTGATTGCTAGAATTCATAAAAATATTAGAGTCAATATGAGTTGGATTGAATATTGAGGATAGAACTTACATTGAGTTTGTAGAAATCCTTTGTATAAATGCCTACATAGAAGTGGCTCTGGTAAGTCTCTGGAAATATAAATCATGTTATGTTTAATGTTAAGAATATAGAGTAGATTAACTACCTGAAGAATTCTTTCAGTAGCGTCGCTATATCGTGAGGACATACATCCTGATCGATCGAATTTACAATTCCTTTATCGAAATCCTCTCGAAGCTGAGAAGAAAATAAAGTCAAGGATGTATTTTTAGAGGCATTAAAATTCTAAGGATTTACCTGTCTCACGCGTTTTTTCGAGGTACTAACTCTAAATATTCCAACAGTATTTAATCCATTTTCTTCTAAGTATCTGGTACATGTAAGCACTACGGACGGAACTTGTTGAAGTTGACTATGAACACCTGGGATATTAATGATTTCATCATCATCATGACTACTCCTCCGGTCAATATTTGTATGGGATAGAGGTGAGAATGTATTGTGTAAGTATTCTGCAAATTCTGCTCGAGCAGGAAGTGATTCACACGAACCGGAACGATCTCTATTTTGATTAAGATCTAGTAAAGAACTGAGAGAACTCCTCGAACTTCTAGATTCCTTTTTCTCTTTCGTCCGATTGTGATCATTCTCTATACACTGCTCCAATGGGATATTGAACACGAGGCCTCCTATTTAAAAGCAGTAAAGAGCTTTTTTTATTGCAAATGAATTAATTGTATTTTTTTGTGTAATAAAAACCTTTATTTGAGTAATCATCTTTTCCTTTACTCGAATCAAAAATACCCGTCGTAACTGCTTTTCGTTTCAGTAACAACACTCTACGTTTATGAGGCTTCTGCGAACTTTGATTTGATGATTCTATGAACGAAAAATAATATTGAGATATTTAAAGAAAAGAATGAGAAAAATTTCAATTTTAATTGTGCAAACATGTGAGGCAACTACTTCGGCGCTGAGTTATATTTAGAGCAAGTAATAGTGAATGAGATGAAATTAATCATAGAAATAATTTTTTTAAAGGTATATTTATAAAATAATTAAAAATAAAATGAATTTTTATTCATCAACATCATCAATGGCGTCAGTATATACCTTGAGGCGTTAACGTCACTCCCAGTTGTAGAATTTTTTCTTTGGCCTGCTTTTCAAGCACCACCCTTTCAACTTCTGTTAAGGTTGGTAAAAATACATCTCGCAGTTGAACACGTTTACCAGTATGTGCACATATCCAAATTCCATTGCCCTAATACGATAAAAAGAGATTTAAATTAAAATTATTATTTAAAATCTGAAAGTTCTATTGCATGTATCAGGAATGTGGTGTTGGAGCAGAGTAGAATAATACGTAGACGAATCTGTCAGTGCAAAAGTGAGGCTTCTGTGGACGAGTGGTTGAACAACAAGCCTGATATCTGTAAGTCTTTTTTAAGGACCTGGGTTCGATTCTCATTCGATATGAGCAAACACTAAACCAATATGTTGCCTATTCTTAAAAGATGTACAACAATTACGTCTAGCATATGAAAATAGAATGTAAAAGGACTCTATCCAAAACACCACATTGCAAGTATTGTCGCAATTCCAGGTTTTACATAATTAATGAATGATAACAAACTGAGTCACGAAATTTTTCTAGTTCTGCAGCCAAAAAGTGAAAGTTCTCAGAAACTTTAAAATGACAATTGATAACATAGATCAGCAGACCTTGAATAAATTTACGAAATATCCTGACAAAGCTGTCAATCAGTATGAGAATCTACATCTCAATCCTGTAGGACCATGTTGATTGTAAATAAGAAGAAAACACGAGTTTTATTGTTTTTCTCAAATCCCGAAATAACGTGCAACGACGAAAACTATAAAATAAAGACATAAACAACAGGCAGTGAGCAGAAAAATATTATTTTGTTGTATACACTCTTGTGACGTCATTCGACGAATGAAATTATAGAAAAAAAAAATTCCTCGTTTTCTCGCTTTTAAAAAAATATTTTCTAAAATCTCATTTTCAATGATACTATTGAGTTTTTCTTTCTGGTCTTGCTACTACTGCTTGCTTTTTCAATCTACATCTACATACATATATACAAAGATTTTTTTTCGCGAGCTGAGAGTCGGTCGACGGCATATGTGCGTTTGAGAATGAAATTTGTTTTTGCTTCTTCAATGTTAAATTGCCTCTATCTATGTTTATGAAGTATCGAGTAATTCAAAATATCCACCAACATGAGATGGATTAGTTGAATTTACGAAATCTGCTTACGTAAAGGAATGGATAATGAAAAAATAAAATAAAGAAAATGTGAAAAGCTTCTTTTCCTTTTCATTTCTCTCACCTGAGGAGTCCATTGAGGTTTTATGTCCGATGATGCCGGCACCAAAATTTGATTTGCATGACTTCTCGTTTGACTCTTTGATCGCGACCGAGAAATTTTCTTGAGCATCAAATGTCCAACATTTGATGATGATTTTGATTTTTGCATCGCAATTACTGTTGATGCTGAAGATGGAGTCGAGCATGTTGATGATGGATTAGATTGATTATTAGAATTATTTGTATGATAAAAGAGATTTGAGAGAAATTGTGTACCACTTTGAATGATACTGCTTGGAGCGGGTGAGGGTGGGGAGGAGGGAATTGAGGGTGGTGGGGATGTTGAAGATGGAGATTGAATAATTGGACTAAAGATCGGAGAAGTGCAACAACGATGTAACTCATCACGATTTCCAAATAATACTTCAAGCCAGTCAGAATCTGTTTGACAGCCTTTCATCAATCCATCATCATCGCCTGGCTTTGTGATTTCACCTTTTGCTTTGATGTTCCTCAAGTTTCTATCATAATTAACTCGCTTAAAACGATTTGCGGCATCATTATCTTTTGGTTTCTTTCGTGCCATCATTAAATAGCGCTTTATCGTATCACTCACAGATTGACTTACGTCTTTATTATCAATACTTAATTTGCGACCACCTTTATCAGTCTGCTGTAGTTCCTCTTCTTCTTGTCGTTCCAATTCAACCTGCTTCTTGTACTCATTAAACAATGTATTTAATGTACTCAACGGGATTCCATCTGTTTGTGTTTCACCTCCTCTATAAGTCTTGATGGGTTTTCTTGACACATTTTTAAGAATTCCCGGTGGCGATGTTGGACTTGTTGGTGCGGAAATACTACCAGAATCTAATGGCTGTTTATTAATATTCGATATAGTTGTTGTAGAAATTGTTTTTGTAATTGTTTTAAGTGTCGTCGAGACAGTCCGATTTGAAGATCTTGGATATTGTTGTTGTTGCTGATACATTTGTTGTTGTTGCTGACTCGCAAAAATTTGCTTTTGCTGATTATAAATTTGATGCGGTCGAGACAGAGCAGCAGTTGAGGACGAGGCGGTAAAGGAACGTGAAATGGGTACTGAAAATGCAGACATTGTGGTTGATGAGTCGGATTTCATTTTTGCAGACTCAACATTTAATTTATGACGTAAATCTTTATTGCTGATATTGCCGGTATTGACATCGCCAAAACCTCGAGTGATTGTATTTCGACAGCTGCTCGCTTTTGTGTCGATAAAATCAACAAAATTGTGAAATGTTGATGATATTGTACTTGTTAAAGATGACATTGACGATGAGTATGAAATGTTTAGTGATCTCGTTGATTCAGTTCTTGGAATTGTTTTTGAATACTTTTGTTGTGTTTTTATATCATTAAGAATTCTGCGTAGTAGCACTTTATCCTTTAATAAGTCTGTAGAAATTGTTTCTGTTTCAATATATGGCGAATAATTTTTCTTTCGATATTGTTTCAGCGAATCCAGTAGCAATTGTGAATGGATTGATTCATTGCCTGGAACTGGAGTCCATATGCTATGATCTTGAACATTTGATTTTGTTATATCAAGATTTTCTACTGCACTACTACTAAATGCATTTGGTGATGCACTAATACTTCGACGACCACCAGATTGATGTGAGAATCTCGATATGCCACTTGTTGATGGCTCATTTGAAAATGCTTTATTATAATTATTATTATTATTATGATTATTATTATTATCATTATTGATTTCTCGACTAGATTTAGATTTAGATTCATTTTCATTCTCCTCAATATCAGAATTTATATGCAAATATTTTTCTAACATTTTAATGATGAGATCATCTGTGCCTTTTTTAGGTCTTTCACCATCCTCACATTCATCAGCCGAGCTCCCAGTCGGCGGACTACCAACTGTCACTGGCCTTTTACTTATCTTGTTCTTATTTTTACGACGAAAACTTCCCGAGGCGCCAGGATATGAAAGTTTTCGTTTCCATATCAAAAATTTTCGTTCATTTTGGCACAATTTTTGAAAATGCTCTTCAATCTTTTCAATATTTTCAGGCTTATTCTGTACACCTTCAGGTATTAATTTTCTCCCAGCATCCGCCATATAACGCCATGTCTTTCTTGTTAATAACCATCGTGTCTTCTTTTCACCTGCCGTCGATGGTTGACGTTTGAGTGATTTCTCTTTCGTTGATGGCTTACGGCCCATCGTGCCGCTACTATCCTTACGTTTTATATGACTTAAATACTCTTTATCACTAATAAGTTGACTAGAAACTGTTGTCGCTACTTGCTCAACTAAATTCCTACTTGTTGACGGATATGCTCTTGTTCTTACATATTTTATTTCACTGCCTGGTAGGTGAAGTTCATTTTTATTACTATTATTGTTATTATTACTATTACTTTTACTTGTTGGACTATCAAAAGGGTATTGTGGATTTGATTTTCTCATTGCTTAACATGTGCATGTTCACACTTCTTCTCCGTTTCCAATTTTCTCTTTTTTTTTTAATTTTGAAAAATTAATATATTTTCTTTTTATCCAATTTTCTCTCGTCTATCTAAACATTTATGAGAAAAATATTTAACGTAAATTTACGTGAATTAGGAAGCAAAAAAGAAGAAGTCTTCCCGAGCGACACTACATGACTACATTAATCTCACAACCGCCGCATGATCGATTTATCTTCAAGTCTGTGATTCATGAAATATTTTATTTTTTACATTTATTTCATGTAGACTTTCTGGATGATCGTCTATCTCTGACTATTAAAGCTAAGCTTGGCGTATTTTTATGGAAGTAGATATGCTATAGTAAATTAATGCAATGTTGGAACAAGGAGAATCTTATTTAATGTGATTCTGATACTGCAATCTGAATCTAGGGCCGGTGTATGGTTGAAAATCTGCAACCCATTTGGCTAATAAGGCGACATGACAAAGATCAGCTTAGTCTTCTCAACATCCATACTAATTTTATAGGATCTAAATCGATTGAATTCTCCTTATTAAAACAATTAAAATCCAAATCATTTAAAAAAGCAATTCCCGCAAAAGATAAATTTACAGTTTGCGAAATGATCCACATTGCGATTAGACACATCATGCAAATATCAAATGGTATTTTAATAGACATTTGATAATCAAAACAATCCAATTTCCCAAGAAGTTCATTAATTCGATCGCATTAAATGCGGAATTTTTCTCAGAAGTAATTAGGTAATTAAAATACGGTTTAGATGAAAATTTTGTTATGTTTTTGATTTCCGAGAATTTTTCTCTTTACACCTTGAGTTCTATTCAGTGAGGATAACAACCTTCAAAAATAAAATATCGTCATGATGCGGTAGTGAGATTGAAAATATGACACTCGGGCCTTTTTCCTTCAAAAAAAAAGATAGATTTTTCCTCGATGATGCTTAGTGGAAAATTGCCTTCAAATCGTTTTGCGATTCCTGTGGTTCAATTTTTCCGCACAGCTATTAATTCCAACTAATTTTTCACTTAATTCTTTAATATGAAAGAAACAGAACGATTTTTTCTTCTTCTATTTTTCCTTTCCTCAACGGCGATGCGAGAAGATCGCTAAGAAATGAAAATGTTTGAACAAAAAAAAAAGTTTTGTTTCTTCCTCGCGAGACTCGTGGTTTTTCCCTCCAAACTAAAAATAAAATAATGTTTTTTGATTCTTTTTTTAAGTGAGGTATTTTTGTACGTCGAGTGAGTGAAATGGATAGACGAACAAATGATGAAGGAAAGAAAAATGTTCATATTATAATAAGTGTATATTATATATATTTTTTATAATACGAAAATATTTTTGGGTGTATAATGGCTTTTACTGTTATTTCATTTTTTGCTTTTATTATTTCTGCCTTTTTGCCTGTTGGCATCTCTCGCATCACATGAGCGCAAGGAATTTCTTCTCGTTTTTTTTTATTTTATTATTTGAATTTTTTTTTATTTTTCTTACTCGACGTCGTCGGTCGGTCGGGTAGGCAAAAGAATGTAATTACGGATAAGCTTGACGTGTGCTGCTCAAAATTCAAAAGGTAGAAAACGGCCACAAATATTCAAGATCAAAATAAATTATCACGTGCTTTTCATCTTCATTTAAATCATTTGTTATTCACTTTTGAGTGGATATGATTATTTTTCATATTTATTTTTCATGCCTTTTACTTCTTCCACAACATGACACTAACTGCTTTTAACCAGTTCACTATTTAAATTGCCTTCTTTTCATTAATGTCGCACTGTCTGCTACGTAAAAGACTCTTTTTCATCCGACTAAATCGTGCAGAAATGAAAAAAAATAAGGCGAGAGAAACTATCGGAACTGGATGAGTCAGGCGCATTTTTACTCTACACTGTATTTCATGATCACTTCATTTCAAAGAGAAAATTATCTTTAGAAAAAATATACTTTTGCAAGCTTTTAACTTAAGTGAATTATTCATTTTGAGCAACTAGATCTGATTGTTTTTCCGTCTGTCTAATCATCATAGCTAGTTCTGTGCTTGATTATACATGAAATTTTATGTTCAGATCTAGATTATCATTAATTAATGGAGTATAATGATTTGATCTGATTAAGATTCTTCTGAAGCAACAAGATTCAATTCAAAAATGATAAAATTCTATCAAGGAACAAGTTAAAAATTGCTTTTATCCTTGACATTTGAATGTGACTTTGATCTTCGTTTATTTGTTGTTATAAGCCTTGTTTTCTAAGAATTTTTTTCTTGATGTTATCGGTAAAACTGTCACAAAATGTGACAAACACTTGACTTTAGATGTTCAGCGACACTTGAGCATGAACGAACGTCTAAACAAGGAAATTACACAAATTTTTTGAAGATCGAAATAAAATTTTTCTTTATCATTGAATTTTGAGTTTAACTACACACATCATATCACAAAATCTGCAAAACATCAATTAATAGGACAAACTGAACGTGTTATCTCCAATGTTTTGCGAAAAAAACAAATTTTACTTAAATCTACACCCAAAATATTGTTCACAATCATCTTTTTTCGCTCACTTAATTTCAATCCATTTCTTTTCCTCACCGTCTGACCATGAAAATAAAATTTATTGTCATATTTTTCTGCAGCAATTTTCACCATGAAAATCTCAATTTATCACACAGTTGATCACATTCAGATTATTTTTCCTCATCTCTTCCTCCTTTTAATTTTTTTTTACGTTCCTCATCTCTCATATAATTTATACACATTGCCACCACAATATTCATATACTCATATATAAAAATTATTTTATTTTATTTTTCTTCATGTATTACACATCTCATCTCATCTTACTAAAGTATATCAATTTATTTAGTTTATTGCAATTTAAATGTTCATGACACTACACTATATTACGTTACGTTTACTCTATTTATTTCTCACATGCCCAGTCATGCCAGGAATTAAAAACACGAGTTTTCTTCATTGCTGCATAAATTTTGTCAAAAATAAAAAAAAACTGTTTTTTTCTTCTTATTTTTTTAGTTTAAACAATTTTTTTTTTCACGAATTAAAAAAAAGAATAAAATTTATTTTTAGTTTTTAAAGTTTATAAATAATTTCTGAGCCGAATGAATACATGGTCACGGATTACGTAGTACATAAAAAGAGCAAATGAATGAGTAAGTAGTAAGGAATTATGATGATGGTCATCATCGTTCGCTGTGCTGTGTATGCTCAAATTCATTAATTTTGAAAAATTCATAAAATTCTTTGATCATGAATTCGTTTTTGTTGTGCACTATTTTTGGCCGAGATTTTAAAAATAGTTTGGATTTGTTGATTGATTTCCAAAAAACAAATTGTTTGTTTTGTGCGGTTTTTCAAAAAAAAAAAAACTTGTTGAAAATCTCCTTCTTTTTTGTTGACTTGGCACAAAATGCGACGGTGAGTTTTATGATCATTAAGAGTTGGATCAGTAAAAAGTGATCGTAAAATTGGACATTTTGGGATTAAAAATTAATGATATTTTCAGTTATTTTAAGAAAAATTGTCCTAATTTATTAAACATGCCGATTAACTTTTTGAACTGGCTGAATTAAGCTCAATTTTGTGGGATTCATATTTTGGTTTTTGAATTAAAATTCAATGTACTTTTTGACTTAATAAGATAGGAAAAGGATGAATGTAACTTGGTGCAATTCAAACAAACAATTTTCATTTGATTATCTTAATTTAATTTTACAAGATGTTTTAACATCAATTCTTCGAAACCTTTAACAATCAAAATAAGAATCAACTTAAATTTTTTTAATTAAGTCTAAAATGAAAATCCGGCAAAATTTTAAACATATCATTTAAAGTGCACCTCAAACGACTGCAATTGGCACATAAACATCAAAATTGTTCAAAATCCTTTGATTTTTAATGACTCGATTGGCAAAAGATGTCTCAATTAGCACCTCTAACTCACGAAATGGAAATCATCACTAATAACAAAATTCGAAGACAGCATTTCAAGTCATTTGATAATTTAAAATTCCTTCACAATTTTAAGCATCACTCAGTGCAAAACACAATAAAGAGGATAGCAACATTTTGCTCCAGAATGCACAACAAAGTGAAAAATTCAGTTCAAAGTCCGTACTACACAACGTTTACTATTATTGTCTGTCGTTGAAAGAAGTAGGATATTATTTATGATAAAATATCGACTTGTATCGACAATAATAACTGCTTGCGAGAAAATATTTCACTAAAGTTTTTTTCTTCATCATATACAATATATACGATCACTTATTTTCATTCTCTTTAATGATTTGTTGTTGTACTTTTTTTTTCTTTTATTATTTCATCTCGGCCTTTTAACAGGCAAACCAAACAGCTCAGTAGCACAAAAAACTGATTTTTCAAAAAAAAGAAAAGCAATTTTCCTATTTTTCTTTTCTCTTTCCTTCTTCTTCATCATTCACATGAACCGAGAAAATTTATGGGAAATAATTACATCTTTTTTTATACTTCATAGATATAAAAGAAAAGATGGAAATATCTCTCTTTCGGATAGGAATTCGGAATGATCTTTAATTGAAGTAAAGTAAATTTACGATCATCAACACAATATTGATATTGTGATTGCTATTGAAATTTATGTCATTTCCACTCATCCATTTGCGTCACATTGGAATTAATTCTTTTTTTTTTACTCAAGTATCACTTTTCACACATTTTCTTGATCATCTTAAGTATCTCTATTGCACGTATTCGTGAACAAGTTGAATTATTATCCCTTTATATTTTGAATGTAGATGGATGGATGGCAATGAAGATTATTTGAGGATGAGGATCATAAAACACTATAGAACATATTCTCTTGACTTTATATTATAGTTCAAGCACTTCATTAATTTATAGCGCTATCGTATTGCATTTTAATACCACTAAAATCGCCTTTTTTTCATTTTTTTTCAAATTTTCTTCCACATTACAGATTTATATTTTGAAAAATTTTGTTGGAATTAAATATATATCAGTAAAATTAACTTTTTTTGAAGGAAGCACACACAAAAAATATATAAAATATTTTATTTCTTTTACCCCTCTCAGTAACACGCGAATGATCGCCGCTTCAGAGTACGGATAAAATTTTAATGAAAATCGTACGAATTTTTCTCTTATTTATCTCGGGATGTGAACTTTTTTCTGTTCAAATCTTAAGCGAACGCTCTTTTTTCTCAATAATTTCACACTTTAAAATGAAGAAAAAGGAAAAAAAATTAATTTTAAACAATTTTTTTTGTTCTTTTTTGAATAGTAGCAAGTAGAGATATATATATCGAAAAGAAATTATTATTGTTTTAAATACAGGGAATAAAGAGCCTCTGTCTTAATGATGTGAACGAGAGGATTCGGAAAATTAAATTAAAAAGTCTTCTTCAGCCGTCTTAAGCGCGCACATACACTTTTTTACTGTGTTTTTCCATGATTTGAGATATTTACTAGCATTTTGTCTACATTACAGTATTATAAAATAAGTGACCAAAAAACTGATTGTTGCAAAAATATACATTACCAAAGGTTGGAAACTAATTAAAACGATTTTTGATCAACAGTGTCAATTGATAGTGACAACAAAAAATTCAAACTTCAGAAAATATTTGTAAAATGTTTAAAAATATTCAAATATTGCTTCACATTTATATTATTTCAGCCCACTTTAATAAAGTGAATTTAAATTCTGATTAAAATTCTTGAATCGAAATAAAAGAATCGAAATTGAATTGAAAAAATTCTAGAATTTTAATTAGAATTTAAATAAAATTTGATTTCAATTCCAATTCTATTTCGATTCTAGAATCAGAATTCAAATTGAATGAATCAATTCTGGAATTATAATTGAAATTCTTCCATGAAATTTTACCAATAACTTGATGTTTCGACAGGATCTGAACACAAAATGAAGGCAATTACTGCAAAAAAAATTTTGGGTATGTCCAATTGACTGGAACTGCCAAAAAAAATTCTGCATTTCTCAACGTTTCATGACTTTCAGAAGGGGCTCAGTACCGCGGAACTAAGCAGTTCCGCTAGTTCCTTTACGTCCATATTGGACCATATGCTCATAATTAACTGGATAATGCAGTAATTGCCTTCATTTTGTGTTCAGATCCTGTCGAAACATCAAATTATTGGAAATTTCAACGAAGAATTTCAATTACAATTCCAGAATTGAATCGTTCAATTTGAATTCTGATTCTAGAATCGAAATAGAATTGGAATTGAAATCAAATTTTATTAAAATTCTAGTATTTTTTCAATGCAATTTCGATTCTTTTATTTCGATTCTAGAATTTAAATCAGAATTTTTATTCACTACTTTAATTAAAAATTATCTCAGTTCAAAAATTCAAATTAAGTAAATTAAAACAGCTGAAAACGACTGCATTCTAATGTTCACTTTAGATTTTTTCAAGGATTGACACGATTTCATCTTTTCATACAAAAATTGTTCATCAAGATGAAACCGAGTCAACTCCTGGAGATTATTCTTGCTTTAACTTAATGCAGAAAGAACTGATCTAGATTTCCCTTCTTTTATTAAGCAATGATCTATTTGTGCAAAAGTATAAGATTTAGGTTTGATGAACATTGAGTCATTGTAATTGAAAAGTTTAATCTCTTTTGAAAATTAGGGTTTAATCTATACGACCTTTCTTTACTTGTCAAAACAATAGCGAAATTGAAATAAGAGATTTTTTTATGGAAGTTTGGTCAATTATTGGATTAAAATGAAAAAAGAAACCATGTTATTATTGTAGTGCTTAATTTTGCAAAACATAGCGTCCTGAATTTACATAAGGTTTTTTTAACAGTCATGCCAATTAAGGACCTTCTATACTTAAACCAGAACAGGGCCCAAAATAAATATTAACCTTGTTTAAATGTGGAAGAATCAAAAGAAAAAGTATTATTTACAGAACTTTTAAAAAAGCGTCCTTAATTCATCAAATCACGCCCAAAAATTTTTCAACTTAATGAGAGTATAATTTTTTTTTTTGATTTTCGCTTGTTTGCTCTTCTTCAGCGTGATCGCGACGAGAAGTAAAGAAGAAGAAGAATAAAAAAAATTTTCACCTGTTTTAATGAAAATGAAATTTTTTTTCCTCCTTATGATCTCTTTTTTTTTACTCGTCAAACATTTTCATTTATTTCTGTATGTTTCTTCTTTAAATCTTTTCCTTTTTTAATTTTTTAAAAATAGGTGTTTTTTTGCGGTGCGTTTCATTAATGAAACATGTCATTTGAAATTTCTGTCAGTCCATCAAATAATCAAAGAAGATATGTGAACAACAACAACAACAAAAAATAAAAATATATACATGAAGTGAAAAAGAATGCCTTGGCGCGTCGCGTCAGGATCGAAGAATGCGCAAATGAATGATCAGTAGACACTTTTTGATCATAAAATACCCTCCCAAAATTCCTTATTTTTTAATTTATTTATTTTTCACTTTTGCGCATGAAAAACCTTTTTTACGTGATTTTTTTTAAAAAGGCACACATTTTTCTTCTTTTTTTCCAGACAAATGATGGCAAACACAAGTTTGATTAATTAATTAATATTTTTGGAATAGGAAAAAGCCAAAAAAAAAAATCTTCTTTCTTTCTTTCACAAGAGGAAAAACTTTTTTTTTTCTATTTCAAAATGAACTTGAATTTTTTTTAAAGCTACGATAAACCAACAGTTTGTATGGCACGTTTTCATCAAGAGAAAATATATTAACAAAAATTTAATACTGCTCGCGTATCATTTTCCACTTTTCCACTTATTAAAAACGTATGCGAATACGAGTGAGTCTATACTGCTGGATGGAAATGGAAGGCTCTCACTCGAACAAAATAAAAAGCATCGCCGATAATTTTTTTTTCTCAATAAAAGTTATTAATAGAAAACTCGCCGAAAAAAAAGAATATTCACTTTCAAGTACGTATAAATTCGTACGGATATTTGCATATATATAGATGTCGGCTTGAGTTGTACACACTTATGGTCCACATACATTCATATCTCTCTCATATTTTGAACATGGACCCCGCAACTACAAATTCATCTTTCTCATGCTTTGCTTGTATGCATGAATCCACAAGTACACCAGACAGTGAATAAAATAAGAATTTCTATTTCTGTTGAATAAAATTGTATTGCCTAAAGAACTGCCCACATAAATACATAAAGCATTTATTTTTTTGTAGACACAATTCAATGCAAGGCTCTATTGCTGCTACTGTTGCTCTGCTTTCTCTGTTGATTATTTTATTTTCTTTCAGGAACATTGAACTTGTCGCAGACTTTGATGTGATCATCGTCGTTCATTTTATTCTTTGGGTTGTTTTGATTACATTACAGCTTGTAGAATTTAAAATTTATGGGAATACATAGTTGTTGCACTTTTCTGCGTAGGTTGTTGATGGAGATTCTTCTCTCTCTTTTTTTATAATTTTCAGTTAAATTGAACAGCAGAAATAAATGGATGGAGTGAAGTTTATGGAGTGTGGAAATAATAAGAAGGAAAGAAATGATCGAGGGAAAATTATTGCAAACGCATGTGTGAAAATTCTTCGTACTCTGATGTGATTTTTTTTTTTATTTTCTTGTACATTCATAAACTTTTTAATGAACAACTGACCATGAAAATTTAATGATTTGATTGATAATGACTTTATATGCCAACAAGTAAAGGACTATTAAAAATTAAATTTGTTTGATCTTGAGTCTAATGATAATGGTAGTAAAGATAATGGCAATTAATGATACTTTGTAGCATTCATTTTACATTGTTTTGGGACTTACTAGTGATTCGATGCTCAAATTTCTTAATTATGATAACTTTAGTTTGATACGTTTTGAAAATGGAATCTGGATCATCGAGCCTTTTGTAGACCAAATACTGGTTTGAGAATAAGGCATTTATGGTCGAGAGGTTTGAAAACATAACGGGAATTTTTAAAAAAGTGCGTTCGTTTCCCAAAATGTAGATTATTTCTGATTTGGAAGTTTGTAATTTTTTGAGAGTTAAGGATCTTCAACTAAATATTTTAATTTCATTTGAGCTAATTTGATTTGAAGAGAATTTTTCTGTAAGTCTAATTGAGCAGCCGAGCAATTACTTAAATGAACTTTCATTTTCAAAGTGACACAAAAGAGATTATGGCCCATTACAAAGGTGCACAGAATTCCGTGTCACTTTAAAATGGTTGTCAAATGGAGACACATCTACCGAGTTAGCTAAGGGGATATCTACTGATTATTGTCTGATTGAAATAATTACGAAATCTCTTATGAAACCTAAAATTTTGCCAGACATTACCCGTTCTCAAGTAACACCCACAAGAAAACTTTAATTGATCAAACTCCTGACTCAGTCAATGGATTTTCCCAAGCTATAATTAGCTTACTGATGATGATTAAAATATAAAATTCATAATTTCTCCTCCTTGAAAAGCTGTCATAAAGAACTTTGACAACCTAACATTGACATTAGCATTTAAACATATCATCAGACTTTGAAGTCAATTTAATGATGATAAAATAATAAAATTAGTTAAGGTCATAAACATCATAAAGCGTTTGAGTTCTTTCAACATACAGAAACCTTTAGTTTTATAGCTTCTGTAATAATCATCATATATCCATCTAAAAATAGTCGAATCATCCTTATATTTTTAAAATGCCTCAAAACTAGTCATAATGGGACTAAAGTGTGTCCAGAAATGTTTGGAAATGAAAGAAATAAACAATTTTTGAATTTCAAAAACATCCATTAAATCTTAAAAGAAGCTCAACTCAGAAAAATCCATGAGAAGGAATGAAAAACTCAAATCAATTATATGCCTAACAAGATTTAAATAAATTATTCATCTTTCATCGCATACAGCCATAAAAACGCGATAAAATATTTTTGAAAAAAAAAATTGTGATGCTGACTGCATCACACATTTAGACTCATGAGTCATTCTGGTCAACAAAAATTTTCTATGAGTCAGTGGTGACTTTATCTATCAGATTTTATCAAAATCTTCACAGAAGAGATCATTTATGAAAACCACCTGTCATCTTCGCCTCAATAATGACGAGGTCGACAAGTTTACAGCACAGATTTTCATCTCCTTTTCATCAATTTTTTATAAATATATATTTACGTATTACAGAATAACAACATCAACAAGATTGAGATGAAAAACCTCATGGTGATTTCGTAAAGTGTTTTGAAATATTATTAAATATTGTGCTCATTAACTATAGCTCCGTGATGACGTCAATCGAAGAAAATG